TCTAGTGTCCCCAATAGGGCAGTGTTCTCCACAGCAGCGGCAACACACTCCTTATCATTCAACTGTTTATTTACTAAGGCATATTGTCAAAAGGGTATGGAAAGTTGGAAAATTCTCAAAGATCACTTCCATCATAACAATGTCAGCTCTCAATTTGTCATTCGCAGGTGCATACAGGCACTTCACATGAAAGATGCACACAACACAAGTAACTACATCAGTCAGCATATCAGTTGCCATGATTGTCTCATTGGCAGGGTGCGGCCTATTCTGATGAGGAAGCTGTGTTCAATCTCCTGTCTGGGTTACCCACATCTCCTGCTTGGCGGTTGTTTCGCACACAGCTTGAGCAATGCATGCATAACAGCTCTTCTTTTTACTGTTGTCAGTTCGTGTAGAAGCCATGCCAGGTCTCATTAGGGATGGACGGGGGTATGGGTGACCCCTGGGGGTCAGGGGTAGGGGTACCAAGGGGTAGGGGTATGGGTAGGGATCTCAGGACCCCTGTACCCCTGGACAATTGGTAGTACCCCTGGGCCTAGGCATAATCTATCCCCAAATTGATTACCATAGGTAGGGTTGGACAAGGGTATGGGTGACCCCTGGACTATTTACAGGTACCTTCGGACTGTACAGTAAAGTAAACCTTAAAAACTCAACTCTAAATGGATCATGCCACTTTGTGATTTCATTTTCCACTTCTTTGTGATTTCATTTTCCCCATCTTACCGACATTCTGATCATGTCATCTAAAAGAATCAAGAAGCCCACAGAAAAAGTTCTGGCTATGGTCGCTGAGGGCCGAAAACACAAACGGAAGGCAACAGACATAGCTTCTAATACTGTTGTCACACCTAAACGAACCAAGGTCACAACATCTATTAACTTGGATCAAGCTACAAAAAGTCCATCCCTAGGCCCAACTTCCTATCGAGCCACAGTACGGACTGAAGAAGAGGAGGCATCTCTCACAGATGCTATTGTAATCTCTGATGATGATGCAGATGACACCAAGCAAAGTTCAGCAGAAGATGACATTGCCTCAGAATCATCTGAGGCGGAGCTAGGTAGTATTTGGTTTCTAAACTTGTTAGTCAGTGCTAATCACAAATGGCTACAGAAAGACTCATGAAGGAGTGGGCCTCACCTATGTATGCTTTTTTTCACCCGACACCAGCCATCGAGTATCACGACCAGCGTCATTGTCATGTCTTCAAGTGTGCGGCCCACGGCTGCACCCACAAAGTTCGGTGTTACCTCGATAAGAAGGACACCAAGTCTACAAGCAACATGCGTAAGCATGCGAGAAGCTGTTGGGGTGAAGCCGCATTACAAGCTGCAATTGATTGCGGCAATACTAAATCAGCCCGCAATGGGCCAATCAAAAGTCTACTTGAAACAGGGTCCATCAAAACATCATTTGATCGCAAAGGAAAGGGTAAAATTACTTACTCGCATCGTCAACACACCCGAGCAGAATCACACGCCGAGATCGTCCGATGGGTTTCAGAGAGTCTGCGATCCTTCGAGATTGTGAAGGATCGTGGATTCGTCTCGTTAATGAAAACGGGGTGGCCAGAATACTACATACCAGCACCAAAAACCGTTGCACGTGATGTCAGGCTGGTGTTCGTTAAAACACGGAGGCGTATAGCAAGAATGCTACAGGTGAGACTCGTCAATGTTGTGTGAATAAATCCAAAACAATAATATTACTTACCAGGACTATACCGGCAAGCTGAACTTCGCTACCGATGCGTGGACTTCCCCCAATCATCGGGCGTATGTCGCAGTATCTGTACATCTTGAGCACGAGGGACAGCCGCTATCCATGATCCTTGATATTGTTGAGGTTTCAAAGGTAAAAGTAAATAGAAAGATAGACATACCTCCCACTGACTAGTTATAGTCACATACAGGCGCAAATTTGGCTGAAGCGTTTGCAAAAATCCTGGAAGAATTTGGAATATCAGATAGGGTATGAAACCAATTGAATATTAGCAGAGAAAACTCACAAGGATTATCAATGCAGATGTTGAATGTCGCAGCGGACAATGCGTCGTCAAATGACACTCTTGTTGCGGAGCTCGCGAAGATTCTTCCATGTTTCGGTGGTGAAACGAACCGAACACGGTGCTTCTTGCACATAGTTAATCTTGTTGCGAAGTCGTTGCTCCGCGAGTTCGAGAATAAGGGGAATGGGAATGAGTCGCATGATACTGTGGAGGAAGGTTCACTCACTGAAGACGAGGAAGATATCCCAGAGCTTGAGATGCAAGGTGATGCCAGTGGCGCCAATAGTAGCGCCAATAGTGGCATCAATGAAGACAGTAGCGATGACGATGGTGGTGATGGTGATGATGATGATGAGGGATGGGTAGACGAGGTTGCACTGCTGAGTGCAAATGAGTGCACAGAGCTGATGCGCAATATCTGTCCGATCAAAGTGGTATTGATTAAGGTGAATATCAAAACACTTACCTTCCATCCCTAACCTTACTCTCTCACAGCTTCGCAAACTCGCATTCAAGATCCTTCACTCCACCACCATACTCCTTCCTGCATGGAAATCGATCCTCGAAGATTTGAAACTGGCCGTGAGAATCATGCCGCGCGATGTATCAACTCGTTGGAATTCCACTTACGATATGTTGAATTTTGCACTTGAATACCGGAAAGGTATTGATGCAATGACGGACACAAGGAAGCTTGGACTTGGTGAGTATGAATTAAAATCAAATGAGTGGATGCTTGTCAAGCAGTTGCGCGATGTACTCAAGGTGTGTGATGTGACATGTGACATGCCAACTTGACTCAGCTAACCTGGATGAATGTACTTACAGATCCTCAAGGACGCGACACTATTCTTTTCCCGTTCAACACCGAATCTCGCCACGGTGATCCCTGCTATGGATCACATTGACCGCATTTTCACCAGCGCCATCATCAAGAAAGAACACCTTGATCCTGCAATTTGTGCGGGCCTCAGACTTGCAAAACGCACTCTCAACCGCTACTACTCACTAACTGATGCATCTAAAGCCTATCGTATTGCAATGGGTGCGTGGTCTGCATGTTTATATATATATATATTTCACTCATTTTATTGTAGTACTCCATCCCCGCCATAAGCTGGCATATTTCAGAGCTGCGGGCTGGCCACAAGAGTGGATCAACACCGCAGAGAAACTTGTCCGTTCAGAATTCAAACATTCATATGCTTCTCAGCATTCAGTACTAGACGCTGAATACAACAATGACCCTACAGCGGCTGATGATGTTGACGAGGTATGTACTGACACTTTTGATTTTATTTTGCTACTAATTTACTTTGACACTCAGGATGATGAATCAAACAACATTTTTGACCGACTTCCCACACTCGCACACGTTAAGACCACCTCCAGTGGTGAGGAACTCGAAAGCTACCTTAACTCCGACATTGAAGACATCGCAGATCCAATCACTTGGTGGTACAGACACCGCAAGACCTACCCTCACCTTTCTCGAATGGCACTAGACTATTTAACGATTCCGGGTGTGTTTTTTTCATTGTTGGTGAATTTACTTTAATTGTATCACTATAGCAACATCTGTTGATGTCGAACAGATATTCAGCCGCGGACGCCTGCTCCTGTCGCACGTCCTAAATCGCCTTTCTGCTCAATCAACCCATGCTCTACTTTGTGTTGGACTATGGAGCCGGTTAGGGTTAGTGAAGGATAAGGACATTAGTGCTGTGGCTAGCCTGCCCGAGGCTGATGCAGAGGACGAGGAACTCGATAACGGATGGGATAGCATTATATTAGAGTAGGACATTGTTATTATCTACTGGCTACACACTTGCAAGTACTGTGGGTAGCAGGTGTACCTGTTGCACCCGCTACCCGTACATGACCCTTACAGTGACCCACACCCCTCAGTACCCTTGGGTATAAGGGTACGGGTAGTTGACGGGTACGGGTGCGGGTTAGGGTCATCACACCCGCGGGTTTACCCGTGTCGAACCCTAGGTCTCATTGCAGGGATCACCAGTTAAAGGGTGGACTTATAAGGAGGCCACTGAAGAGCTGGTGGTGTCGAACACTTCTGTCAACCTTGATGGGCAGACGACTTTGGCGTGGAAGTAGTTTTTTCAACTTTTTCTAGGGTGTATTTCTGGGTCATTGGGTATATCACGCAGTGTGTGATCGAAGTCACAGTGGCATCAAGCTGGCCAGACAATCTCGCTCACTCATATGTTATGTCTTCTAGTCAGTATCATATTGACTGTATGAGATATTCCTCCACTCAAATTAAGGCTTCCGCGGCTGTGAGATTGCCCCAGTAGCGATCCCAATTACCAACTCAGCAAGCCATTAGGAACTTCAACTTTGGTCAGGGTAGCAAGGTATTGGCAATAAAAGCTCCATAAATATTGTATTGGAAAAGATACATGGCAGTAAGTAAGCGCGGATAAGCATAAACCGTAAGCTGGATCCCAGGGAGTCACGGCGCATTGAATAACTCTACAAATCATCAATATTAATGTCGCGTGTCAGTGCCAATGGCGTATGATACATGATACTGAAAGCATTACTCACTATGCAGAAACCGAGGTATTGCCATGCAGGTGAGTTATGCTATCAGATTATTGCCAATACTTGCGCAAATCCCGAAAGCGCAGCCACTGCGTGCTTTGACAGTTTTGCAAAAGTTGGGACATTATAATAATTTTAGCGCTAGTTGTGTCAGCCTGAGCAGGCACAGGCAGAGACTGATGAGGCTAAAGCAGCAACAACAATTGCAAAAGAGAAATTATTGGTTGTGACTCTCGTGATATGGAATCAGATTATAATTAACTCTGAAGAAGATAGTAGGAAGACCACATCAGGAAAAACTGTTTCTCTATATAGAAGGCCCCCTGCTATATAGCTCCCATAGTACACCATAGCATTATATAGTCTATGGCCAGATATCACAGGTTATAGAACACTATGGATATTATATAATTCTATATATTACCATAAAGTTTGGTAAGCATATTTAGAGGTAAAACAATTAAGTAAGAAGGAATCACATTTATCTAATACATTATCTGAAGTCCAATCTATAGGAACTGTTCTTCCAAAGTTTGGAACAAGCTGACAAGTCTGCCTAATGGATGATAGCGAAATAACTCTACCTGGCAATGAACCATCTAAGGAAAGTAAGGGTTTCTTAACTGTATACAACTCATAATAGTCTTCTGCTGCAGGTTTTAATGGAGCATACCACTCAACATATGCCAAAGGGTCTTTGGTCCAAGCAGGTTGAACAGAACCATATACTTGTTGTGGTAGGCGAAATATAACTTTCAACCTTCCAATGCGTGTACCTATAGTATTGAAATTTTCATACACTGAATGATTATATATATGAAAGCTACTCACCTTTTAAACCAGTGCATTCACAGTCAGAATCAACCATTACTACAACTGTATCAAAGCATCCAGCTTTTTGAGAAATAGGTGGTTGTGCTTTGACAATATCCGCCTCCTCCATTTGATCAAAGTCGACATCATTGCCTAATGAGTCTAGGCAGAATTTGAATCCGTGATAAATATCAATATGACTGAAAGGAAGATTCATGTATCTGAGCTGTCCGCTGACCTGCACCAAACTGGTTCGGTGCATGGATGACTGATACTCTCCTATGAGCCCCTATGCCCTAGAAATCACTATGAAATCATTTTCCCTGTGACCTGAAGTCAGACTGAGGCTAAGGGAATATTTTTCGCTTTTTTTCACTTTTACGAGTTTGTACGCGAGTGGATTGAATATTTTTGCACATTTATTCCTGCGATGAGTTTTGCTTAGTCAGCCATGAGGGTGACTCAGACAGATTCTCACACATATCAGGTGACTGTGAAAAATATGTTTGTGTAAGATTACCCTGTGGGAAAGCTTACAAATTGCTAAACACGCGTCCTATGTAATTATGCTACCAATCAAGTCATTAGCCACAGATTTTACAAACATATGTACACAATATGTAATCATTTCTCACTCTTGTCTAGCTGAGTCATCAAGGGTCACCTGACCCATGAGCCATACACAGCTCTTGCTGACTCATCATTATACCAACTAGAGTTATGAATATTTACTTTTGACTCAAAGATACCGTGTGACTTGGTGCTATTGAACTAAAGTTACAACTTTAAGTACGAGAAACTAGTAGTATAGCCACCAAATTTGTCTATATAAGGACCAGCTTTTTGCCCAATAAAACAAGCAGTTCCCCACTGTTTTTACTTCTCAGAATAAAATTGTGAGTGAAGTGTGAATCGGCAACCAGCAAGTGCAGTTCAAGGTTGGAGCTCACTGTGCTCAACAACCAGCACAATACTTCTGAGCTCATTGTGTTGAACATCTAGCACATACCTTGAGCTCGCTGTGTCTGACGACTAGCAAGACTAGTCTTTCTTTTTCTGTTTTCTCCTGATTGTCTGTCTGAATTTCTCTGTTTCTTTTTGTGTCATTGTCTGTGTCTCTGTCTGTGAATCTCTCTGTGATTGTTTTTCTTTTTCTCTCTCTCTGAGATTGTGTCTGAGATTCGTGACTGAAGCTTGTGTTCTCTGTTTCTCTCTCTGTTTCTTTGTTTCTCTGTTTCTCTGTTTCTCTGTTTCTCTGTTTCTCTGTTTCTCTGTTTCTGTTTCTCTCTCTCTGTCTCAAGTGTGTGGTGTGTTGGTGACTGTCTATACTGACCATCTCTCTGATCGCTGTCTGTTTGCTTTGAGATCATTGTTGCTAACAGTCTCCGTGACCGTGATCGTGTTCGGTGTTTTTTGTTGCAGCGGTCTCGTTTTGTTGATTGACTCAACCTATCAACTTTCTCTCAAGTACCAAAGTTTCAGTCTCATTCTTACCCAGAAGATTGGTGTTGTCTCTTTTTGTCCACAGAAGACTCTGATAGTCTAGTGGGGAGACTTTAGGTGTTGACGGTGATACCTGACCTCTTACATCTGTGTGTCATACCGATGTAAAGAGTAGATTCATTGTAGGCGCTACAAATGTATTACCTTAGAACTCAAATGTGCGAGTGTAACGCTCGTCCAAAAGAGACTGCCTATAGAATTATCTCTTGATATAAATGCAAGGGATATCTTGTTAAGATCGAAGGTAAGAACAGGGAGAATTACCCAAAGTGCGTCTCGAGTTCCGAAGATGCGTCCGAAGTACCGAAGTACTTGTCTGATGCGAGCGAAGGTGGTCCGAAGTCAAGAAGAGAAGGTCCGAGGCAGTACGAAGCGTCCGATAGTCATCCGATGAACAGCGAAAGTTCCGAGAGAGAAATACGGCGGATGTGTCGAAGTATGTCGAGATATGTCGAAGTATAAGATTTAATAGATGTACCAAGGTACGTCTAGGCAAAGTCTATCGGAAGAACTAGAGATATCAAGACACGAAATGGCAGCGGTTAGGCCAAACAATCGTTCTGAATGAACAAAAAGATCGATTGTGCGAAGTACGACTATCCGAAGTGACTCTACAAACTGGGACTCGTAGCCAGGAAAGTGAAGTGCCCTGCGAGTATCTGGCGAGTCGGATTATATCCTACAGCGTGAAAGTCCGGAATCTGCATAGGCGAAACTAGTAGCGATATAAACTATCCGAAATGTAATAAGACTCAAGGCGAGCCGCTACAGAGATATGCATGTAATAGCACACGAGGCGGGTAGCTATACATATTAATCAAGCTTTTCGATGTATGTGCCCCTAAGACATGATCAATAACAGATAAACCAATGTAAAAACGCACCAGCGAAGTCAAATGGACACGGAAAGGACATGGTACGGAGGATCGGACGTGTATACAGGCTTCGGAAGGAGACGGACGACCTTCGGACTACTCGGACAAGTGCGCGGAACTCTCGGAAGGTAAAAGGAGCGTCAGGGAATATAAGTGTGAGACACATACAATTTAGGAAGGATACGTGACCAACACCAGTCCGAGTGTTACACCGATCAAGGGTAGTCATTGCGAGTCAGACTTTAGCTATTGAAAAGGGGACTTGGTATTGAAGTCCAAGGTCGCCCGTTCCTGAGTCTGTTTAATACTCATTGTGAGTTCCTTGGCAGCAGGTTCAATATTAGGCTAAGAGTGCTACAGAGGCTTGACTAGGCCTGACGGTAGTTTCACCTGTTTTTGTATTGAGGGGGACTCTCATTGTAACTCCACACAACTTGCTGCACTAAGTTTGTGTACAAATCCTTGTTGCTGTGTGAAGTGTTAGGAAGAGTGTCTGTTTTTTTTGTGACATCTCTATATTGTTAGAGTGACTGTGTTTCCTGATTTGTTTTGTTGTTGTCTGTGTTGTTGTGATTGTTGTTGTTGTTGTCGATCGCTGACTGACCGAGTTCTGTGTTTTTCTCTCATCGCTGTGTTTCATATCCATATTGTTGGATTGACTATTGACTGCTGATCGCTGACTACTGACTTTTTGTGCGAGCCATATTCTACTGACTGTATCTTAGGAGCAAGGCAAGCTGCCCACGAACGACCACATTATCAGTCATTGGTATTTGTCTGAATCGCTGACCGTGGAGATATTTGGTTTTATAGGTGTTTATCTATAGATCATCTATCTAAGAAGACACCGCGTGAATGAGGTTGAGGCAACTGAGTGTTAAGATAGGTGATGAGATCTTTCTTGAAGCCTTTGCAAGCATGATCTTGCATAACCTCCAGGATATTCCGGTGAAGCTGATGAGGTCTTTTAATAAGGATAACTCTATGATCTCTAAACCTTGAGTGGGCAAACTCCTCTTCTTCATCCTCCATAGACATCTTGAGATAGCTTTGAAATGAAACGACCTTCTCTCTTCTAGTTAGCCAAGAGATCATTTGAGGCCTTTCATTTCTTCCATTGGAAGCATACCACCCCTCTTTACAAAAATCAATATGAAATCTTTCAAACATCTCTGTGTTATAGTTATCCGTGGTTCCGAAGTTTCGTATGTTTTCCAAGTAGTGTTGCAAGGAATGGAATTTTGGGATATCAAGATCGTCTCTGATACCCAGATTAATGATGACTTCCTTATGAAGGTGAAAATCTTGCAAGGCTTGTTGCATGTATGCCAGAGTGTCTTCATCATGAGTGGGATATTGTGCAAGATAGATAAAATCCAGGAGGGCACGATATGCCAGGATGACACCTCTTGGAACCTTGCCAACCAAACAAGCCAATAGCACTCTAGCCATTTGTTTTCTCCCTTTTCCACCGACCTGACCCAAAGCAGACCAGCCCTTATGAAAGTGATGGACGCCATAACAAGGAGGAAGAGTTCTAAGTCTTTGATCCAGTTCTTCTTCGTCCATGAGCTCCTGACACCACTTGACCATATGCTTAGATATGCCTTGATAGAGTTGATGAAGTACGTCAGATGTGATAGCCAAATGAATATCGCAATGAGGGAAATCAAGCCAAAAAGGCTCAAATACCCCTCCAGCTACATCTTGAGACATGCACTGTGTACGGAAGGCAGAGTTGGTCTTTGTGGATATATTGGCATGGTCAATAACTGATGAGGTCCAATGTTGTGTACGTCTGGCAAAACTTTGTATTTCAGCCAATTCATTGGCTCTAGCCCTACACTTGGGACATGTACTGTACTTGGTACAGGTAACCAAGCATTTCTCAGGATAATCGGCCACGTAGCAAGCCAGAATGGGAAACACCAGGCGTACAAGACCATCTCCACCCACAACCTCTATTCCGCTTTCTCCTGCATCTTTGAGTGGTTTCAAAATGATTCGAAGGGAGTCGTGGAAGAGACATTGTACCCTGGAAGATACTTCTCTAGCAGATAGTTCCTCCTTTATGATCTTATCCACCGATAAATACCCTATCAGGATACAGGCATGCTGACTGGATTTGCGACGGATGGCTCTGGGTATATTGCCAAGTGTAAGATAGACTGGATATGCCGATTTGGATGCAGAAAATCTTGTAAGCTGGGTTTTGTTGGTAGTGATAATCACCGGAGCTACAGATGCTCCCTGAGGAAGTCTATCCTACAAAAACATATGTTAGTTATTAAAGAAGCGTATTTAATACCATGTTGCTCACCTGGACTGCATGCCACCAACGACCTGTCCACATCTCATTATATATGCGCGTAGAACGAGATGTGTCAGTAAATACTTTTGAAGGCTTATATACGATATCTTCAGCATGAGCAGGGTTTCCGAGCAACATTTGAATGGCTTCCAATGGATCACGGTAGTGTAGTTCATGCTTATAGTCCGGTTTATCATCGAAGGCCAAGTAAGTTGATTGCCATTTTGCACAGGGAGGGATGCTATCTACACCTGTCAAATGCTTTGTGTCTTATACCCTCTTGCACAGCCCAACATGCTACCTGCCAGTCCAGGCATGATGCAAATGGGTAGAATAAAGTATCATCTTCATCGTCAGAATTCTCTGATCCCGCCTCTTCTCCTCCATCACCTAATCCAAATTGTGTTCGCCATTTAGCATGCACCATCTCCTCCATTCTTATGACCCTCCCAGCAGTAGGATGAGTATCTGTGACCCGAGAATCTTCCTCCTCTGCCAAAGCTCCTCTATGCCTAGATGGACCGGCTACTGGCTCTTCTTGCTCTTCCTGCTCCTGGTCTATGTCCATCATGTCCTGGTTATCATAGTTCATTTCATGAACTAGAAATAATGTAAGCTCTTGATGAGAAACTGACATTGCAACTCACAATCGGGGTCCAGAGGTATCAACTGAAATAAATCATCATCCACCTCATCAGCTATCTCATACAGTAGTCCCTCCATCTCCAATCCATCCATACCTTCATCATCCACCATATCCCGCTCTCTTCCCTTCCCTAGCTTATACCATTTGCAGCTTGAAGCATTGAGTAGGTGAGAATTGAGCCCTTGTGTAGTGCGAAAAGTACGTATGCAGCCTGCAGCAGGGCATTTATAAGACATTGAAGTCTCATTAAGAACACACCTGCTAAACACCATTTGATGAATTAGTAAAACAAGAGGATGTGAAGAGGATGTGGAAAGAGTCTAGGGGGAGCGTCTAGTAGCGTCTAGGAGGAGCGTCTGTCAAAATGTTGCACCAAAAATACAATTCATATTGTGTTACATACGGTACAAATCTTATGCAAAGGCTAAACAACTTGTAAAATGTACAATGTATGAAAGGAGAGAGTAGGATAACACATGAAGGGTTGTTCTTAGAAATCATAAAAATAAACTGTAATCAAAGTCTGAGTCCATGCACGCTTAAGCAAATCATGAAACTTAAGATGCCCATTCTTTCCGAAGTTCCTTGAGCACCACCTTTGCAGCCATGACATTAATGTGATCAGCAGTCTTTCCACCAGTGCCTTTGAGGTACTGTGATGAGTTACCAGGCGTGAGCTTGCGTTCTTGCATGAGGAGACAGGGCATGCGTGCAAAGAGATTGTGATCTGCATCTTGACGATCCTTGTGGTACAACAAGTTCATCCGCAAGGCAGGGAGCATTGGTGAGCTTTGGGCAAATCCACTGCCACCCACTGCCCTGGCCCACTCATTGGTCATTTGTTGAGGCTGGCAGAGATGGGCTAGTGTATGATCAGTACGGATCTTGAAAAGCGCAGTGTGGATAATGTCGAGCATGCGGGAGTGGCTTGGTGCACTTTCAATGAAGAGGACTGTCCTCATCTCCCTCAACATCATCCTGATAGGCTCATTCACCCAGTCATTCCCTAACACTCCGTCCACCATAGCGAACCCTGCATCAGTAGCCAAATAGTGTTGTTTCTCTACAGCCTCGTGCCAGATCTCCTTCTTGATCGTGTTCTCAAGCCAACGATGGAACATCTCCCCTCCACTTGCTGTATCTGGGTGCGGAACTTTCTTCAACATATATGGCGCATCAAACATGAATGCGAGGGTGAGGATCACATAATAGTAACCTTCCAGATCATGTGCAATTTCGCGTCGAATAGTATCTTGGCCTGGTTTTTGTGCGAACATCATCTGGATGGCCATCCAAGCGCGAGTGCCCTGTACATATGTGATGTGATGAGCAGGAGAGCAAAGATAATTGTGAACACTCACTGTCAGCTCATAAATGCCGCCCTTTTGCTTGAATCATTCCAAATCCTCATCTGCATCCAAAGAGCCATAGCCAGCAACATCGACCTGAAGACTTTGGATGATGCGCTTGGGCTTGATGTTCACCTTCAGTACATGGTGAAGGTGAACTTGTCGTTTAGATGGGCCATCAGCTTGTTTGCCTTGCAAAACATCAAAACCTCGCTTGCGCATGGCAGCAGAGGAATCAGGAGGGGCATCGCTAGGACGACTGGTACCAGTAGATGAGCCCTCTGCAGCACCAGCGGGACCTTCTCTTGCCTCTGTACCCTTTCGTCCTTGTTGTTTGCCTTTACCTGTGCCGCATCTTCCGCGTGAAGGTGCAGTTGAAGCTGGTTGAGAAGGGATCATGGAAGTTGAGGGTGCAGAAGGGATTGTTGATGTAGAAGGTGTGTCGAACATAGGAACAGGTGAGACATTGGAGGAAGCATGTGCAGCAGATGTACAGGCAGTGGGGGTATGGGCAGTGGGGGTACGAGCAGTGGGGGTACGAGCAGTGGTGGTACGAGCAGCAGAAGTACAGGTAGAAGTACGGGTAGAAGTACGAGAAGTGGAAGCCTGAGTGGGAGAATGAGTAGAAGGGTGAGCAAGAGAATCGTCAAAGTGAAGAGCGCCATGTTGGGAGGACAGCATTGAAGCGGTGCCAGCAGGCTTGTCAAAGATCTTTGATGGAGATCTTCCTTTTATAGATGTGCTTCGCGTAGACCAGGATGCAAATGCATGATCGTACAGTAGGCCACGTCGCATATTGTTTGCATCAAGACCTGTATGATTAACGCGACCCCAGTCTGACATTGCTGGATGAACAAGTCCCATGTTCCAGGATGTGTCAGCTTGCATAAAGGAGATAGGAAATAGCTCGTCGGTCTCTTTGCCACCATCTGAGATGACGTAGGGTGAAAATGCCTGGCCATGAGCTGTGATTATATTCAGTAAGGAACTCAAACATAACACAAAAGTAAATCTCACATTGGATGCAATCCGCAATAGCAACCAGTGCCTCGTAGACACAGCTGAATTCATATATGGGTGCACTGAGCGGATATAACCAAGATCGAGTGAGCATGCGCTCCTGGTAAACTTCGCGCTGTAGGACACGAGCTGGCGCTGGGCTCGTATCGAGCTATTTCACAGTACACGCCAAATACCTGTCACATGCTAATCACTTCCCGATGTTATCCGACGCTAACCCGCCAAACCGACGTTTAGGCCGCATCGGACCCGATGTTTTCCCGCGCACTTGTCCTATCCGTGTCCCGTCCTGTCTTGCTAGCCCCACTAGGTGTGTAGTTCATTAATTCGCACATTACTCACGTCGTAGCCAGCGCTATTACATGTTTTCCCATAGTCCGCAGCGCCTCATGTTTATTTACATGTACTTCGGATCCGAAATACTCCGCCGCTACTTTCGCCTATGGGTTCCGCATTTCTACGTACTTACATATATATTGGACTGACCTCGAGCATTATTCATTATCCAAGTAGAGGGGAGCAGTTCCCCGACGCTTAGTGGTCAAACCCGATATTTCGTAGTTCTTAGTTGATATTGCGAATATCATCGCTCTTTCATTATCCATATCAGTCATTGTTATTATCGCGCACACCGCTCGCTCTTCCGACGCTCGCTATAGCGTTACTATTAGTTTCCAACATCCCGAACCCGAACCCGATATCCCGAAACCCCGAAAACATCGGACCCGACGCTTTTGCGTCGGACATCGTAATTATACCTTTGGACATTGTTTCCCGCGCTCGGACTATTGACCCCACATCACTCACTTACCCCCAAGACTATTCCCAGACCGCAGACCCCTGGGTCGAACGCACTTGTCAGGCAAGTATAGCAGAATAGGCAGTGCAAAGACCACAACACAAATATATCAGTTAGGAGCAATCTTTGTTTTGTTCCTCTCAGTATAGTTGTTTCTACAACTGGAGCCCACCGCGAGGGGTCCATCTGGTTTAGTTTTGATTAAGTGATTTTGATTTTAGGATTTCCCGACGAACCCGTACTTCGGACCCGACGGCCCGACGATATTTCCGACGTACCCGCAGTTTTTCCCATCATGCCCGACAGATTTGGCATGCCATTCAGGACAGAACAATCAGCCCCAAGATTCACCGGCGATGTTTACGGAGTTTTCGCATTTTTGCAATCTGTAGACCAACTCGGACAAAAGTGCAATTTATCGGACACTGAGCTCATCAAGTATACTCTCAGATATATCCAATGCGACCACAAAGAACTATGGGCAGGATGCCCTGAGGCCCGAGGTACATCTTGGTTAGATTTTACTAACGAAATTCTGTCGTCCTACCCAGAAGGAGGCATACACGAGTATACCCGACCCGATCCGCAGCCCGAAATACCCGAACCCGAGGAATCCGATGATTATGAATGGTGGACACTTCACCTAAGTGACGAATACACACCCGCACAAGAACGCCTAACTTCAGAAATAGAAATCTCCGCACCCGAAGACCCTATCACAACATCCGACGCCCCAGAGGGAGTCCGAAGTTCCGAAATTTCGGACTTGACCTTCGGACAAGTTCAGTTACCATCGGAACAATTGGATGTATTCGTAGAAGTCATTGATGCAGACGTACTAACATCAGAAGTCTTAGATTCAGAGCTAACGTCGCTAGAAGACAACGTACCCGAGATACCTGAAACATCGGCCGACGAATTCCCAGAAATATGGGATATTTGTACCAGGAGTTTAGATCACGAACTCGATTTACCTTCTCCAGATCGCACTGATCATTTCGTTCACGCAGTAGCCGTCGCTTTAATTCTCACCGGTTATGTCACTAGGTCTAGGTATCATTTTGAATTGTCACACCCGAAAATCCGCACGTCAAAGCCCGAAACACCCGAAACACATTCCCCCATCATCCCGAAGATATGCCCCGTTTACCCGCAGTTTCCCTGCATAGTTTCGCCCTATCGTCACCCGTCGCATCGGATCCGAAATATCCGATTCCATCATCCGGTCTACCGACGCTTTCAATACCCTCGTCCATCGCACTCCCAGATCGCGTTTTACCAGTATGAAAGCCAACGACGTCTTTACCTTAGGAAAAAGCTATAGTTCGAAACCCCGAAATTTCGGGTAACGCGATACCCGAAAACGCGCACATATGTTCATAGCTTGCACGTTTCACCCCGGGATTAGGCCGGTGTTTCATATCTCAATAACCCGAAAAACCACTATCCTCATACATCCGCACCTACAGAAGAAACTAATAGTACACAGACATTCGAATCCGAACGCGCGTTAATAACCCCTATTTATATAGCATTTCATCTTCGAACTGCGCATCGCGCGCGCACCCTTATATATACGTAGAAAAACCCGAAAACCCGAAAAACCCGAAGAAAGACAGTCAAAAGTTGCACGAAGAAGTCAAGTCAGATGGTAATCTGCGTCCATAGTATCATCTTGACTACGTTATCCGAAAATTCATCTGGCACTTATGATTATTTTTTTCATTGTTTTTTATTAGACACCCTAGTAGGGGATGACCTAGCATCAAGACACGAGACACGGACACAAGGGACACAGGACATACATGGAAACTTCGGACATCGCATCGGACCCGACGCTTTGACATTTCGGACATTAGAAGAATTCATTGGACATCACGCTTTGACATTCGGAAAACACGCGGAATACATTGTACAGCTAGGAGAAACGCTAATTGGTAGTACAGAAGCAGAAAGAAATTGAAAGAGACAGTATTCAGAAACGCGCCTTTTTGGTGACATGCGCCCGCATCATGTCCAACTCATTCGCAACTTCGGACATCAGCCCCTGGATAGTGCGAAACTTCGCATAGACACCCCGAAGCTTACCCGCCAAAATCAGGTCCTCTCCGCTCAAACCCGAATCCGCAAGTGCGAAATCCTCTTCCTCTACATCCGCCAACTTCCTTTTCCTACCCTGAATCAGCACCACCGGCTTTGTCTTCGAAATACGCGAGGCGGATGCCATATCTTCACCATCGGAAATCGTAATAGGAGGTTCGGATCCGAGCGAAGACCCGACCCGAACCTTGGAAGCCGCCATCGGCCGACGCGCAGACGCTTTGCCCTTGGCGCGCGCTAAATACAGGAGTCAAAACGCCGAAAAATGCGAAAAAGAGGAAAACTCACCAATACGAGAATAGGAACATGCCTGTTTAGAGTTCCGGCACTCTGTACACCCGCGTTTTTCGGGTCCGAAGCATTCGGTGTCACGCTTAGCGCAGCGGTCGCAGGGAGGGTCGTGAAGGATCATTCCATCATCAGAATCATCATCCTTGCGAAATATCTAGCGTAAGACAAACGCAAAAATTTCGGACTTACCTTCGGCGCAGGATGCTTTGCCTTGCGCACCCGAGTCGGCCGCTTAATCGGAACTTCGGATTCGCCGTCCGCATCTTCTTCTTCATCGCCCTCACCTTCCATCGAGACATCCGCAGGTGCGCCTTGAGGTTCGGAAATTTCGGCCTGACGCGCGGCCATTTCCTTGAGCGCATGCAGCTGTTCCACGAAGCGATCATGAATCCCCACCAATTCCTTACCCCTCGCAACATCCTCCGCAGTCAACGCAAGTGCGACACCCTTATCCTTTCCGGCCGCTATAAAGATTCCGATATCGGACTTTCGGATATTAGCACGGAAAACCCGAAAATCACAGCAAATGCGACGCACCGAAATCTTGTTCCACCTCCTGCACCATTCTTCCTTTTCCACCATGAGATCCGGCCTATCATCTGGTACGCACTTCGATTCGGCCTCCATCTTTTGCCGAAGTTCCGAAAATCCGCGCTGGAGAGACTCAGCCTCAGGAGATAAGACTTGTGCAGTGTCAAAGGGGAACGCCATAGTGAGATTAGATGAAGGGGAAAAGAATGAAAGAAGAGAAGCGCAGTTGTCAAGGGCTCGGGTTTATATGCAGAAATCGCGAGAAAGTCTCGGCCGCATTTCCCGCTGGTCACGTGACTTAGAAACCCGCAAATTTGGTGAAGACTTCCCGCATACCGCTGACTGGGGACAGTCAGTATTCAAAGTTCGTAGGAGATGTAGGACACGAGCTGGCGCTGGGCTCGTATCGAGCTATTTCACAGTACACGCCAAATACCTGTCACATGCTAATCACTTCCCGATGTTATCCGACGCTAACCCGCCAAACCGACGTTTAGGCCGCATCGGACCCGATGTTTTCCCGCGCACTTGTCCTATCCGTGTCCCGTCCTGTCTTGCTAGCCCCACTAGGTGTGTAGTTCATTAATTCGCACATTACTCACGTCGTAGCCAGCGCTATTACATGTTTTCCCATAGTCCGCAGCGCCTCATGTTTATTTACATGTACTTCGGATCCGAAATACTCCGCCGCTACTTTCGCCTATGGGTTCCGCATTTCTACGTACTTACATATATATTGGACTGACCTCGAGCATTATTCATTATCCAAGTAGAGGGGAGCAGTTCCCCGACGCTTAGTGGTCAAACCCGATATTTCGTAGTTCTTAGTTGATATTGCGAATATCATCGCTCTTTCATTATCCATATCAGTCATTGTTATTATCGCGCACACCGCTCGCTCTTCCGACGCTCGCTATAGCGTTACTATTAGTTTCCAACATCCCGAACCCGAACCCGATATCCCGAAACCCCGAAAACATCGGACCCGACGCTTTTGCGTCGGACATCGTAATTATACCTTTGGACATTGTTTCCCGCGCTCGGACTATTGACCCCACATCACTCACTTACCCCCAAGACTATTCCCAGACCGCAGACCCCTGGGTCGAACGCACTTGTCAGGCAAGTATAGCAGAATAGGCAGTGCAAAGACCACAACACAAATATATCAGTTAGGAGCAATCTTTGTTTTGTTCCTCTCAGTATAGTTGTTTCTACAGCGCATCACAGGTTCCAGCTTTGGCAAGGTAAAACCTTCAGACACAGGATGGTAGCGATCGTATTTGTTGACGCTCCTAGCCATGCTCTTGTGTGCCAAGGCCAGTGTTGGAACACCCCAGAAAGATCGGTTGTAGACAGTGCTACTCCAGACATTAACATCGCCAGTCTGAGAGATCGCACCAATATCCTTGAGTGAACCAATGCCTGGATGATCGCCAAGTTGACCGAGTGGAGGTGGCAAAGCAGGACCAACAACCAGTCCCTCAAAGAGCAAACACGTAACACCCTGTACTCCTTTCAGCCGAAGGTCATTGAGAATCATCCCTTCCGTGTGTGGTGCAGTGAGATCAACCCAGGTATCTTTCACCACCACATCCACCTCATTCTCCATTCCCTTGAGCCATTTCTCCATGGCATCCCAAGACCCGCCCGATTGCAACACTTGAGCAATGCGCTCTCGTGATAGTGTGACGTGACGCGCAACGGTGCCATGACCATGAATATTATTACTGATAAACAGCACCATATTGATTGGCACCTCGGGACCAAAAACTCTTGATCGTACAAATCGCCGGGCTTCATCCTGCCCAATGGATGTCTCCAGACCCACCATACCTATTGCATGCCATTGTGAGCTGATTACTTTATGAGTGTAACTGAACGATGTACCAGGATCAGCCAGGGATAAGTATAAGACAAGCCGAAGGTATTCCTCCTTATCCTCCATGATGTTTAGCATATCAAGGCAAACAGCGCCTCCACGATCGAAAAATGCAAACGTAAATGCTTCGCCCAGGAACATCAAGACAATGACAAAGTTGCGAGCATCCTGACAACCCCAGATTGTGTTCGCTCGCTTTGCGATCTCATCAAACCACTCCTGTTTATCAACATCAACCCCATGCTGCTTCATCTCAGCAAGCGTGAAGACGCGACGCCAGTCCTGAACAAGAGGATCACTGGGAACAAGGATGATATCAGGTTTGCGTTCTTCGGCGGATCCAGGAAGAGGCTTCTGACAATAGTCTGAACTCCAAATTCGCTTAATCTTTGAATCGCCTGCTAGTAAAAGCGCCTCCTTCACTGAACGATTCATAAATCTAGTCATATGATCTTCTGTGCTGAATCTGCCACCGTGTTGGCGATTAAAGTGAGGTGCTTTCAAGTCAGGACAATCTATCTCATTTGTCCAGCCTAGGTAATAAATGAGAATAGACACGCATCAAAGCATCAAGTCTCTTACCTTGATCATTCAAATACCCCTTTTCTTTGAACCTCTGCAGAATACCCTTCATGCCGCGGAGCTTGGTAGGATCGTCCAGATTTTCGAGGTGTTGAAAAATAACCTCGTCATGACAGAGCCAGTTGATGATGTGGCGCGTGATTGCCTTGTTATCTTCCATTTGCGTCGCAACAAATCCCTCAGAGGCCAAATTGGGATCTAAGGGCGGCAAGAGTGGTGAGGACTGTGGGGGCTGAGGGCGTTGCAAGGGATGTAGGTGCTGCAAGGGCTCTAGAAATGCCCTGAGATTGCGAGCTTGTTCGACTACTGCTCTTTGATATACTTCGTTGGTCTTTGCAATAAGACCTCTAGATTGAACCTCCAAATAAACAGATCAGCCATTGAGTCGCATAGAAAACAAAGTCTCTCACTGTGTTATAACTCCTGCGTTCCAGATGGAAAAAGTCTGGCGTAGCGGTTGTTGAAGTCATTGGAATAGAAATGGGACAGGAAGTCAAAGACGGTTGGTGATAAAGTTGCGGACAAGGGTTGGCAGTGGAGACAGGTTATCGATCAAAGAAAGGTGAATACAAGGGTTACAATAGAAGCACTGACTTACCTTGATATTTTCTCCAAACTAGCTCCAGACCGCCACTGCCATCGATGAGCCACCACATACATCTGTCTGCCCTTATTTATGTCTGCAGCAAAAACTTGTGACGTGGAGCAGGAATGAGTGTGATTGGTGGAGAGCTCTGATTGGTGGAGAGCCCTCTGATTGCAGGGAACTCGCAATCATAACCCTAGACTGGGGGCATCATTTTGGCGTCCTTGTGAATTAACAGTGTACATGTTCTCAAGATCAACTTCTAGGTATTCATAGCCTACAGGGAAACATACCATGGAATTTCACACCAATTGAATTGATGAGTATTGAAGGCAAACACGTTTTTTGTATTGCTCCTTAAAAGTAAACCTTGAAGCCGTTGAGTGGGAAGTTCATGATAAGTTCGAAAAATGTTAAGTCAAGTTACGATCAACAAAGATTTATCACATGACTGATACAAACAACACGTCAACAAAAGACTTTGACCAAGTTCTTCGAATGTGTACCTCATGTCCTCAATAATCACAGCCAAAATCGCTCATTTGGTCTAAAGCACAAGTAAGTCATGTGTGTTCTTGAATGATGACTAGCATATAGCTCACTGTCACGCATGCCAGCTCGCGCACCTCACCTTGCAGTACCACCTGAGCAAGTACAACCATATAAAGTATGGTTGCCAAGGTGTGCATCATCTGTTGCCATCATTCGGACTATTTTGACTGACCGCCATTCAGAATGCGCCAGATATTCACACCTCGACTCCACCACATTCAAAAAACACCTCACTGCCTTCCCACGCACCACCCGTGTGCCACTCACACCACCTGCATGCTACCTGCACCATCCACGTGCATCCGCGTGCACCACACATCAGCCGCATTCCTCCACCCTTCACACCCTCACCATGTTCACCCCATGCCCACCAGCACCCATCCCATCCACGATGCAACACATCCGGAACTGACACCCATATGCACACCTGGCGATCAACGCCAGCTGCGACGACAACTGTCGACGCAACGGCAGCTCATCGTGAGGAGCACAAAGGAGGGTTATAGGAAGAGGAGGAAGCAAGCAAGGGTGAGCACCCCCACACTGTCTCACTTCCCCGCATCCCATTTTCTTTTGTTTCATGCCCCATTTCCCTTTTTTGTGCATCATTTCCCCGCATGCCAGCTCACGCACCTCACCTTGCAGTACCACCTGAGCAAGTACAACTGTATCAAGTATGGTCACCAAGGTGCATCATCTGCTGGGTCGGTGATCTCAGCATTGTCCATTTGTGGTTTGCGCTACTTATTTTTATATTTTCATAGCCATTCAATTTAACCGATCCTTCAGCCAATCTTAGCATTGAGAAGAAGGAGGCTGGCTGTAGTTAAACTCTGTAATTGCCAAGTGAAAGGTGATGAGTGCTGATTGGTGGAGCGCCCTCTGATTGCAAGCAACCTGCAATTTGAACCCTAGTCTAGGTGCAAAAATCTGTAACTTATATACATAATCATGATGCAAGCCTGATCTAATAATAATTCTTCTTGCTCAACCAGCGCCTTCTTGGTTCCAATAAGTTATGTTCCCTCCTTTCAGATTTAGTATGCCGGTTGTTCTCTCCCCTGATGCAGCAGATCATCTGCTACAGATATTGGCAGACTTTGGACATCTCCCGCCTGTGTTGCACGACCTGTATCAACATTTGACCGACCAAGCTCATAGCCAAGGAGATGTCACTCAACGCTCACAGCAGAATGTTGTAGGCAATAATCGTGCATATCTATTACCTGGGTATGTTTGTATTACTTATGTGACTTGAAAAACAATCTAGTAGCGAATCAGCAGGCCCAGCTATGGACACCAGAGCCCACTCCATCATTGTCCGATACTCTCTCCCCCTCACACACACCTGTTGATCCTTCGTTCCCAACAACTGCTGGTGAAGTCCTGTCTGTGTTGCCTGTTGTCCATCACAGAGAAGATGAGGAGGACTCTGGTCATACAGATTCAACCCACCCTACTAAATGAGCACGCAACTCTAAAACACACACATGCAGTGGACCGCCCAGGGAGCCACCTGAGCCTGGGTATGATCCACCTCAATTTGCACTTGTTCCTGACCCTGGTGATGATTGTAACCGTGGTGCTCGAAGATTACGGTTACATCGGCGGCGCGCTGCTGCAACTGGTGATGATTCTCTGCGCCTTGAAGATGGAGATGGAGATGGAGAGGAGGAGGAGGAGGAGGAGGAGGAGGAGGCAGAGGTGTATGTGGCAGAAGGTGATGTAGGGGAAGTGGATGAGGCAGAGGTGGATGAAGCAAATGCCAGGCGAGGTTCATGGCGTCACCGCTGCCCAGATGACCCCAAGATCACATGTAGTGACGAAGCTGCTACCATCATCGCAGAACTTGCATCCGCTCACTACAACTCCACCATCCACAGTCCCCTAAGCTGGCTGCAGGATATTGCAAATCATGTGCAGACTCCATGCGTGGAGGACGAGTCACTGATTTCTGTTGTGGTCCGATGTTGAGGAATCATAAGTAAGGACATTCGTGCCAACTTCCTCGTTATGATGAACTACATGATGCTCGTCTGCAAGTGCCAAAGGTATGTATTCTATCCTTATTTTGCCCCGACATATTTAAAAAATTACTTTGATAGCATACACCTCAAGACTGGTCTTCGCTTAAAAGTGATATATGACCAAGAAATCAAGCGCCACAGCTCTGCAAGAAAGATCGCTTATCGAACCTTTGCGGATTGGCATGCTATTGGCAGCAAATTTATTGCTATCGCCAGCGGCGGTTCCATTTATACACTAGTGCTCATTGCTGGTTTAGGCCTCAGGGTCTCCATTGCTTCCATGGTAGGCACTACGCACTTGAACATAGCTAACCTCCTTCGATCGCCTCCTAAAAGTAAGTTGTTCTTCCGACTTTGAGGGACATGGCCGTGACATATTCTCAACGTAGATTCTCTCCAAAGAAATCTCATCATAGGATATATTGTTCCAACAATCGCACGCATGTGTCTTGCATACCCCCTCAGCATGGCCTCAATGTTCCCTCTTGCGCTGATTCAAAGATTCGTCATCTCCAAATCAGTTGACTGCACAGACCTCTCAGCCTCTGATCGGTTCTTTGATGCTATCATACAAAAGTAGGTATCTTTAAATACTGGGATGTGCTGTATATTGACGGACAATGTTGTTTCTCAGCTCATTTGTACCCCTCCCAAGAAATGGGCGTGTTTGGAGGCCATGTGTTGTGCCTGTACCGGACAAGTCTAACAGAATTCCGGTACAGAGCTTAAACTACAATGTATTCTACGGTTCAAGTCGCCCTTATAGCCTGCCACTTTCTGATGTTGAAGAAGATGAAACAGCGCATATCATCATCAAGACCTCGTATGATCCGCTTGCGTTGGACACCAAAAAACAAAGCAGACAACGACATCTGGAGTGCTGAAGAAAGGTCACGGGCTGAGGCGGGTGAGAGGGTAAGAAGTATTGACAGTTTGCAGGCAAAGGTACATATACGTTCCTGCCAGTACTGATTCGATTAGTTCACTATCCTGCTTGTACAGCTTGCAACTTTGTATCACAAGGGAGTTAAGAAATCGCAGGATGCATACTTAAGAATCCCTATGGAGATTATACCCAAGTGCATAGCACGCTCCTGCTTTTTTTATCATTAAGATGACACTGATACTTCTCAGTCATCACTTGGAACTGCGTTGTCAAGACGGTTCACTCATGGCATTTGTGTCAACGGCGCTACCGAACCACATACATTCTGCACTCAAGGTGAATCTCTTGTCTGCATTGGAAAGGCCCGAGTTGCTTGAAGAGGTAGATACACAATCACCTGGGTGTAAACACTTTCAGGCGATGCACTTGTCCTGGTACAATAGGCATTGTACCTCAGTAAGCTGTTTTATTTCTACATTGTAAGGTCGCTAAATAACATTGATGTACCAGGGTAATGAGGCCCCTAAGGAGGTTCAACCATGGCTTCTAGAGAAAGAAGGCATGCGCACTAACCACCAGCAGGTGATTCCTTACGTATCAAAGGATCTGCGTGAACACCAAAACATCTACTCTACAATCTCGCGCGTATATGCAGAGCTCTTTGAGTGGGTACGAAACTTGGTATGTAGTTGTAAAGATTTGTTCTTGCTCACAGGTTTACATTGACATTGGCAGATGGAAACTTTTCTGCAAGATGAGTTTGAGATGCTGATGGAGGTTGCATCTGTCTTGCCTGGCAATCACTCTATGCCTTTCACGCCCTTCATATCTTTGGTCATCAACATCAATGTGAGGACCAAAGCCCATCGAGATCGCCAGGATCGCCATTTATGTCTAGTCATACTTATTGGACACTTCCAAGGCGGAGCATTGTGCCTACTAGAGAATGGACTTGTCCTGGAGTTGTGTTCTGGCGATATTGCGATCTTTAGGTCAAGTGAGGTCACCCATTTCAACCTTGACTATAAGGGAGCAAGGGCGTCTCTTGTCTTTCAGACTGACAGAGAGTTTGCAGCTTGGGTTAAAAATCAAAATGGCTGGGTAGATAATGAGACCATGCATTCTTTCATTTGATGTATAACATATAACTAATACTATATGTTTGGTACCGCATAGTGTTATTGGTTATAATGCTTCCAATTATAGTTTTAAGTCAGCTTCAATTCGGTTCCGTCCTTTCAACCTTCACTTTTACACCCTTAATCTCAAATCTTACTTCTGTATCAAATGTCTCGCAAGTCCAGCAAGTCCAGCAAGCCTAAAGAGAAGGCAGCAAGGTCACTTACATCCACGCCCCCTGTAGCCAAGACCAGAGGGCAAAAGAAAGCACCTGGGTCCAAGGTGCAGGTTTCAGACAACCAATATGAAGAATTCCTCAAGTTTCAAGCACAGAAGAAAAAGGAAGCTGAGTTGAATCGCAAAGAAAGTAAGTGATACTGAAGCTTGATGCAACAGGAAATGTGCTAATAAAATATTATATATTAGACGTCCGGAAGAAAGTGGATGCTTTGTTGGATGAAGAAAGTGACTTGGAACCGACGTTTACCAGCACAGGGACAAAGCATAAAAGAGGCAAGTATTCCTTCAACATCTATAACACAGCTAATTGTCATTATAGGGTTGCAAACAACATCTGTTGTTCCAGATGGCAGTGACATAGACCATATAGATGGCGCCAATCCTGCAGACATTTTACCTGCGGTTGTTCCTCCCAAAAAGAAAGTATCTCTTGGTATGGCGTCATTTCTCTATTTAATGTAACTATGTTATACGCTCATTATATATTAGATTTTAGTGATGAGGATGCCGAAAATGAGGCAGACAGCGATGGTAATGATGAAGGTGGTGATGTTGGGAAAGAAGACGAATCTCTGGAGAGCACAGGTGTTAGAAGGAGAACCAACGGGGTGCGTAACTTTTATTTAATAGACTTCAATACTGACTTTGTATACATAGCTTATTCAGGTCAAGGATGAGCCCAAGGAAGATAATGCAGAACGTAAATGTAGGAGAAGAATCAGCAAAGGTGACAGGAAACCGCCTACCACTTTAGCTTCCTTGAAGAAGGATGGCTGCGGTCCTTTAGTGGATCTTGCTCACCAGCTACTCCATGTCAAGATTGCTTTGGAGACCGCCTTTCCAGGACCTTCAGTGGATGTGCAGGACTCCTTTGTTTGGGACTGCATCAAGGAAGCGGTCAAGAATCCTGGCTCTCCCTTGAAGTCAATGTTTGATGCCATTAGTCAAGATGAAGCTTTGAAAAATCGTGCCATGGCTTACGTGAGTATTTTAGTTTTTCATATGATTCATGCTTACCTTTTTTTAGGTGTGGTCTGGTGCGAGTCAGCTGAGAGGGGAGCTGGTTAGAAAGGCAAGAGAGAATGTAGCATTTCTATTGCAGCAAATGAAACCTAAGGACATTGGTGCGTAACTACATCTTTTATTTTTTCAAATACTACTGATCAAGAGACAGGAGAGGTAGCTACATGGCTCATTTCCACCAAAAAGGATCCTTTTCTGTGCGGAGAATTGGATCTGAAGGTACAGTTGTTATATTAATGAGTGTACGAAACTAATTTATGACTTAGACCAAGACCTTCAACAAGAATTTCCCTTTTCGTGCTGTTCTCTTACGTCAACTGCTCATAAGTCAATTCTTTCAAGGAGCCGGATCAGAAGGTCTACTGTACAAGGATTTGTTCCAGAAACTCCCTGACAATCTTCTTGCTCTACTGGCTACAGCTGTAAGGGCGCCCAGTTTTTGTTTTCAAGTTCAGCTATAGCTAACACCTTTTATACCAGGCTGAATGCGCTTTCAAAGGTATGCTCTCTGGATCTCCGGTTGTCATAGAATTCAAGGAGCCGGTCTTTCAACCAAGGTAAGTGCGTCTTCATGGTTATATTTAACTTCATCTAATATTATGTTTCTTTAGACACCAGTACTATATGCTGAAGCTGGCTGAATATCGTAAACATTCACCCATGTATATGGAAAAACTGAGGCAAGATCTGTGGGCTGAGATAGGGTAAGAGGTTCATTATATTCATTCTTTTTCTATGCTAATAAATGATATGATAGGGAGGCATGTGGCTTTGTAATGAGAAATGAGGTCGATGATTCTGGTTCCGAATTAGATTTTGAGGCTATGGAGGAGTATGGTAGATTACAAACCAACACTATAGTTTCTGATGTCACAGTCGCCTAATTGCATCTGAATCCGATTAATTTTGAAAAATTTTAATGAATGTATCATGATTTACAATCCTATAGAGAGCTATAAAGTGCATGATAGATAAATATTTAAAAAACTATATGATGATATGAGCATTATATAGCCAGGTATAGCTTGAAATAGGATTCATGTTGCATCATCTATGATAGCAGGATATAGTTACTATACCTCTGTATGACACTATAGTATGCTATATATTGCTGTAAATAGCCTACACAATTGGGCACTTGGTTATACAAGCTATAGCACTATGGGCCCTTGTCATATCCCGCATTCCGGACCAACATCCAACGACGTTCCCACGCCTCATCCGGACCTCCGGACCTCCTGTCCATGTCTCCAGACCCAATCCTCTATCCGTCCGGATCCCTGTACTCCTGCATCTGATATCCGGACGCCAGATCTGATATCCACATCTCTGGATCTCCGGATCCGACCTATCTGTCATGTCCGAACTCAAACCTTAAATCAGCGCCCATCCCCTTATGGTAATCACCTGTCTCCGGACTTCCGAACATCCGGATCCGACCCACGTCTATCTTCCGGATCCGACCTGCGTCTATCTTCCGTGCCTTATCCCTTTGTATGTTCCTTCTTGAGTTAGACTTCCTCATTTTCCGTACCTTGTTTCATTTCCGGCTTTATTTTCCTATGTCTTCATCTCCGTCTTCATTTACTATTTTCCGATAGACTAGTGTTTGACTTTTCTACATCCTCCATCCACAGCCTCGCATAGCTTCGGACTGCGCTGACTGACTCTCCGTTAAGTCCTCTGTAGTATATAAACTCTGTAGAATCTTTGTACTTCCTCAGTCTGAATATCATACACATATTAGTCCTCGCACTAGCCTTCACCCTAAGTCCTCGTAACAGTTCTAGTCCTCCGACTTAGTCATTATCCATCTCAGGCCTAGGGAGGAATTCCCTAGGCCGGAGCTCCGCTCCTCCGCTCCTCCGCTCCTCCGCTCCTCCGCTCCTCCGCTCCTCCGCTCCTCCGCTCCTCCGCTCCTCCGCTCCTCCGCTCCTCCGATCCTCCGATCCTCTGCTCATCCGCTCATCCACTCATCCGATCCTCCATTCCTCCGAGTTTCCGGAACTTTCCCGCAGTCCTCCGGACCTATTCTGCTTCGGACTTTGTCCTTGCAGCCTTTCCTCTGTTTGCTTCTACTCAGGACTTGTCCTGAGTAGCCATTACACATATCCCCGTCAGGACGAAACTCCATCGTAATTTCCGGAAGTTCCTCCGGAACTTTCCCACACTCATCCGGAAGTTTCTCGCACTCGTCCGGAAAGTCCTTCCGAAGTTTTCCACGCTCCTCCGGAAGTCCTTCGGACTTCACTGGACTTTCTCCGGACTTCATTCTGAAGTGAAGGGCACATGCTCGGGTAAGGGGTGCAGCGCACGAGCTGAAGCCAAGCCCCTTGGAATCAGTCCTACCCTTTGTGCACGGTCTTAACAGCCCTATATATCACCCTATAGTGCTATAGACTGCTATAGAGCCATAGCACATTTTCCTGATGCACAGGATACTGACAGAAGGATATATCCCAATGGCTTATAGCCCTAAAAGTCCGATACATCATCTACTGTAGTTATCCACTCCGGTATATATCCATTCTGTACAGGTAGTCCATGGGTACTTATGCAGCCATCCTCCGAGACTGGCCGTGTCTCACCGTCAAGTGTCCTGGTTCCTGTTCAGAAGCTGTTCGAAGACTCCAATTAAGGCAGTGTCCTTGCTGAGCGCTGAGCTCCGAGGACTCATAATATAGAAGTCGCCAATGTATATTTGGAGGCCGCCAGCAATAGCTATCACTGTTACCGAACCTTTGAGCTCGCTGCCATGCACAGTGAGCTCAGGTATCTCGCCAATGGGAGCACGCACTCATTTTGATTTGAAGACCACAGGTAAATAAAATGTTTTTAGGATTGTGTAACTAGCAGATATAACGTGAATAAATGTATCAATAAAGATGTGGAAGAAAGCGATTTTTGGCATGCTTTTAGGGAATGGTATGGGAAGACAGGAGGGCGGAGAACATCCGGGACCCTCGCACCCTCGGACAAGCTGAGGGCACCCGTCCAACCCTGTAAACCGCCACATGTAAGCATGGTGTACGTGCGGGTCTGCATAATATACACCTTACCTGTATGGTATGAGGTGGCAGTAGATGTGGTTGGGCCCTGGGATGGCGTTAGCGAACTCTAGCATGCTGTGAGGCCTAGGTGCATGTTGAACATCAGAATAAAGAAGAGATGCAAAAGGAAACAACCACGTACTTGTGAATAACCTCTCCGATCCTCAACCAACTTCTCCTTTCATGCTGGTCGTGGGGCGCACTGCGCACATGTCCGTGCCACATCAGCGCTCGCTGACATGTCCTAGGCTATGTGCTCCAGTTGCTGAATTGAGCAGAGATGGGAATGGACGATACACTGAGCCAGATGTTATCAGAGTCAAGCGGTGCAGATGGTTGTGTGCATGGAGTGTGGTTGAGTGGCAGAAGGTTGCTGTAGCACTGCAGTTGGTTGGAAAGCAAGCTGAGCCTGAAATACATAGATACAGTAAAAAGAACTTACTTAGACAAGGACAATGTTGAATTAAAGACTACTAGTCGTTAATGGATTCGAGCTTTAAATTTGTTAGTAGACAATGAATTCGTTATCTGAGAAAAACATACCTTTCATAATAGTGGAAGCTCCAGAATCATCATTCCTATCGTGCCCATAACAGAGTCCTCAAGTGTGAAGTCCTGGTTGAGAATGTACATAGTAACTGTACATGAGGAAGCATACAATGCATTTGAGCCGGTCAGAGTAAAAGTCCAATAAAAGTCCAACAACGTCCAACTTGAACTCACATGCACAAATTTAGTACCGTACAACTGAATTCTGCTACACCTTGCTAATCATTACTTGCGCTACTATTTGTAGTAGGATAATGCGAAGAGGCTGTTCATGGCAAAGCCCACTATGGTCGCTTTTTCGAGTCATAATCCAAATCAATTGGTGTTAGCCTACAGGTACAAGTATCCTGCAGATAAACCCTCTGAGACTCGGATGAATCATGAGATGGAGGTGGGTGCTACTAGCAAATACACGCATCAGTAAAAAACTCAAAATGCCGTAGCCCTGGTGACAGCTACATAGAGCTATATAGGCACAGTAGCACTATATAGGCACCCTTCAAGCTACTGTAGTCGCAGTAGCGCTATATAGGCACCCTTCAAGCTACTGTAGCCACAGTAGTGCTATGTAGGCACCCTTCAAGCTACATACAACTATATAGCCAAAGTCACCGCTACTACAGGAGTCAGCTGGAGAAATATTTGCTACAGGTCACTCCAGGCAGCTACAGCGCTCGTGTGATATTAACCTGTCTACAAACTACTTATGACAGACACACCAAACATCTCACCGTCAATATTTGAACTCGTTAAAATAAAAATCACTTGCCACCTTGCGGTGGAGTTGGCGTGTCGAGCGAGGACTTGTTGCAATCGAAAGGAAGGTGCTCTAGCGTGCCACCATTTTGGACTCGTTGAACCGTGTGATAATTGACTTGATGGAATTTTCGCAATATTGTCATATTGCATTGGTATATATTTCTATTATTGTAAGAATATACAAGTAGTCTTGTAGCCTAGTTGTAAAAATGATGCACTTATAATTGTTCAAGGTGTCGGGTTCAATTCCTACCAATTGTACATTATAACGTGTGAAAATCATCTGATGTGAGCACTGGTGACATTTCTTTTGGCCTCGTAACTATCAGGTCCTACTAGTGTTAGTAGCCTGTAGCCTCCTGTAGCTTGCTATGACGAGCTACCAGTGACTCTCATAGCGAGCCGTGTGACTATATAGCCACATGTAGAAGGGACTTGACAAATGGGACTACAGGTACTACAGCGACTATATAGCCACCTGTAGTCAAATGGTATTTTCCTGATGTGTGGATGGTGAAATTGAAGCGATTTTATGTGCAGCGAAGTCGTCCTGTCTTCGCATGTAAGTTGCTTGAGGTACTCAATCCCTACCCTCCATCACTGCTGTACGGGCGCTGCACAGAGGGCCAACTCACAGTGTCTGACAGCACCGTCATTCTTGGTAGTCTGAGATATAAATCTGTAAAGTTAACAATCTTCATCTCGGGATAACATTCAGATATATTGTTCATTTCCTACCACTTTCACGCAACTTCTGATGCATGTGCAGTGCTAGGTCTCAGCACATGGGGTGACACGGACTCGGATTAAATTTTTCGTTAACTCAGAACGGTTGATGATGTGTGTCAACTTACACTTAGCAGAAGTCGACACTCTAGGAGATCAGGCATGCTCGTTCGAGGTGATTCGTGCTGAACGCACAGAACACCGTGATTAAAGTTTTGAATGACACACAGCTGTTTGTCAGCGGGGTAACAGTCGGCCACATCGCAAAGGACTTCTTGATGGCAGGCACAAGACTGCACAAGAGCATCGAAGATCCCAGGCTGAGATCTATCCTATTGCCGCATCTGCGAGAGAAGGGAGCTGGCTCGGTGCCAACGGATGGTGAACTGGAAAATGACCATGTGAGGCATTCAACCCCCCATAGAATGATTCTCGCACAGGATATGTCCAGTTGGACAGTGGATGATAACACAAGAATATGTATCGGACTTTTTGGATTACAGTCCAGTTAGGATATATCTATATAACATTATCGGCTGGGAAGACAGACGGCTGGCCTTTATGTTGTTATTTGAAATTCTTCTTGCCAGTAGATTGCCAGACTCGCCAATGTCGGTTGAACTACTGTCTACTGAATATTCACGTTTCCAACCAGCCGTTGACTCGATATCAAAAGCACTCGACATCTTGAAGACATTTCTGCATAGCTCGAAGGCTTCATGTTGACGAATATGAGATACTCCTTCTTGAAAGCGTCAGACTGTTAGCACCTCTATCTCCTTCTCCGTACCCAGGATCTCGTTGAGTATGATGTTGTGGGATACTTCGTGCAAGAATGTGTTAGCGTGTGAATAGCGGACAGTCGCGCAATATATGCTCTCGTGTTTGACGTGGCTGGCTCTCCGCACGAGCAGCCAGTAGGCTCAGTTGGTACGAATGAAGTATACAAAATCGCTGTTTCGACATTATTAAGAGCGTGGAAACGTGCTGATGTAACTCTTACTTAGCTAGGAAGTGTGGGAGTTGTCTGGCGCGACTACATACATACTCTAATCCAAGCAGCAAATGAACTCAAAATTCATTTTACTTCATGTTAGTGGGTCAAGCAAGGGTGTTCTGCCGATGCAGCCGGCACTTCCCAAGTGTCATCCGCGTGTGAAACTTTTCGCCGTTCTATGTACATTGTACATCATCCCCAGTGAAAACCCACTGTTCTGAGAATGGCTGAGGTTGCGTGAGATTGTCTAAACTGAGCGACACAATCTCAACAGAAAAATGAGACTAATAGCACATGTGCAAATGTGTGTAATTGTGCACTATTGTCGCAGATTGTGTGCATGCAATATTTTCACGTTACCCTAAATTGTGCCAGATTTGCTGGTATTGTGTGGCTGCGATGCTCGTTGCATCATCCTAGATTGTGCCAGATCTGCTGGTATTGTGTAGTGTAGTATACATTACAGATACGCAGATACAATAAAACTCGGCACCAATGGCACCCGACAGCACATCCTGTCACCATCCGTTCCAGCCCATACTCAATGCAGCTATTCCTACAAGTCGACCAGGAGGTGACCAACTTGAACGATCCTGAGAGGCCATGAGATCACAAGAAGTTCTGGGGGAGGGAGCGCTGTGGCCCGCTATTGCTGACAGGGATCCTGGTGCAAGGATGATCAAGATAGATACTAAGAGCCAGCGACTGACAGGGATCCTGGTGCAAGGATGATCAAGATAGATACTAAGAGACAGCGAGGTCGCAAGAAGTCGGAAGGAGTGTGATGTCACTAACGGGGCCATTCACCAGCTGCAACCTAGTTGGAAGAATACCGTACCTGTCAGTAGGTAGGTGCGACATGTTCTAGTCATAGTACGTACTTTCGTGGTAGCGAGCTCATCATATGACTGATGAATATATGTTAGTCTAAGCCAAGGAAAAATGAGATGGAAGGCGCACCTTCTTCTGCGCTCCCGACAGTCCATCATAGTGGACCTTGAACTCGGCTGCTGACCCAGTCTTGTTACGAGTGAGCCACTCACGTGCACATAGGTTGCTGTGATGAAGTCTATGAATATGTACAGTAGCAAAGAATACTATCAATGCAGACGAACCGTCCATTCTGTGCTTTCCCAATCTGCATCTTCCTTGACTTCTTTGCCGGCACATTGAGAGGTTTGCTGGTAGAGGCATCCAGTGGAGGTACTGTGCCAGTGGTTGCTGTTGGAAGAAATTCAAGTTGAGCTGGTTGTCCAGTCATGTGGCGGTACTCACTGCTAGGAGTTGGCATCAGGTCGGCAGCAACTTGAATGGTGGCTGGTGCGTCACAGTGGACATCGGGAGCCATTGCAGAGTCATCTGGGGAGTGTTCTGGGGTCGGTACAATGGAAGGCGTGGGTTCACTAGTGGGCTGGGTAGATATTGGTTCATCTGCTGGAGGCGTATTCTGAACTTCAGAGGAGGAAGGTTGAATTATTGAGGGTCGATTAGCGTTAGCAGGTTCAACAGTAGTACTAATATCAGTCAGTTTGAGTTCTTGAACAAAAAAGCAGGCTTACAGCGGGTTCGCAAATTTCAAGGGCCGTGCACGGAACTACAAACAAGTGTCTGAGTACGATGTGACAATATCAAGATAAATACATACTCTGGCAGGGGCACTGGTTGTGGCCATCTCCTTTGAGGAACTAGCAGCGTGAGGCTCAGTGATTGTTGAAATGGTATGGCCGTCACTAGTGGGTGAATCTGGTGGGGTATTCCCATCTGGAACTATTGCCAAGTGAAGGCGGTGGGATCACAAAGAAACAAACTAAATAACGTACCAAGGGATTGACTAGTTGAGTCCATGACTTCTGAGACTGGTAGTGATGGTGATGCGCTTTCAATGGCTATTAACGTAGTAGATAGTTAAATGATTATAGAGATAAAGTCGAATAACTTACTAGATGTCTCTGAGGACTTCCGCTTCTTACTGGAATTTGACCTGATGTCAAGTGGTTCTGAATCGCGGGTCCGCCGTTTGGTGGTCTTTGTGTTGATATTAGTCTTCGTGTCAGTACCCTCAGTGTCGTCAGAGTCCAGCGTCTCGAGGCTATCAAAATCGATGATGTCTTCTGCCTTCGGCTTGCAAGTCCCTTCACGATCCAAGCGGTTGATGTGATTCTTGCGCCAAGAGGTATAGCTAGCAGTCGCAATGGTATCGCATTTCCAGTTGCCGTCACAGTAGCCAAGCTCGGGGAAGAATGTTACCATTTCTCAGTAGTACAGCTTACTAGCAGTTCCCGATGCTGCTCCCCAGCTTTTGGGAGCCTCGTTGATGTTCCAGATGTCCACAAACACCCGCCGGGATGTGGTACGGATTGCTGTGACACGCTCCAAGGGAATAGGCATATTACTCTTGTCAACCACGAAGCGCAGTGGATGCGACTTTTCGAGCTGGGTTGATGGTTTCTCCTGGAGCTTCTTCCAGTCTTCCTTCGTCCATATGAACTTGCTGGGGAAGTCGGCACGATTGTAGGATGGGATCGTGATTTCCTTTGCCTTGAGCGTCACAGGCAGACTCTGAGAGGGGAGGGTACCGAGGCCAACAGGGTCTAGAGTTAGTGAGAGGGATTCTACAAGCTTAGTATAAGCAGCCCTAGTAAACCAACAGTTAGACACCAGAAAACCAAGTGATGCATTGAAAAAACGCGCTGATATAAATCCCGCTCGCATGCCAGCATTTGTTTGTCTGTCCGCAGCTGTAAAATATCGTTCTGTAGGACTTTAATCTGAACATCAAGACGCGTACATGCGCTGCAAGTTAGTACATCTATCTAAGAAAATTACTCGGTGAGGCTTTGACCTGCTCTTCAAGTCGCATATATGCGCTTAACAGTCCATTTCCTCCCTAATCATGGTGTTCAGTTAATTAATTTACGATATTACTGTGACTCCTTACCATAGGTTCATGCTCTTGCTGCATAAGAATGGGCGAGTTTGCTGGCCTCTGTTGAAAAAATGGATCCAGGGATGGAGAGATCATGCCATCAGAATGCGACGACCCATTCGAATCAGGGGAGGGAGACATGGTATCCTGCTGGCCACCAAAAGGACGTGAACTACCTGCAAATTGATTGGGAATATTAGGGTATGGAGTTTTGTAATTCTCCGAGGGTGTAAAGTTATTATACTGGGGGAAAGAATAAGACATGGTGGTGGTATAAGAGAAAGATGTTAGACGCACCCAAAAACGCGTCCCAAAAACGCGTCCCAAAAACGCGCTCACATGACCTGCTGGAAAATTCCGAAGTCTGGGGATATTTCATCAAGTCCTCGACATGGAGGATTTCATATCATTCTAATCTAATACCCTAATGCCTATCATAATCGACTCTGTTAATATGTTGGAGGATGTCATTTTCCTCGATATTGACAACATTGTTCCTTCCTGGGACACATACTGCTTCGCACTGGATATCCACTCTCCTGGACGCAAGGTAAATTTATTTATTCTTAATGCATAATAAAACCTACTATCTCACACATATGCAGAGAGTTGTGTTACGCTTCAAAGATGCTCAAATACTTCAGTTGAAAAACGGTAAGGATGAGGAAGACAACTCACCAGAAGAAGGGACGGTGGCCGAGGCATCAGATGATAACGTAGAGTTGGTGGTCGAGGCACTGGAGGACAAGGAAGAGTCAGTGGTCGAAACATCGGAGGATAAGGACGAGTTGGTGGTCGAGACATGGGAGGAAGAGTCAGTGGTCCAGACTTCAGAAGATGAGGAAGAAGAGCTGGTGGTCCCAGTTCCCATTCCTCTGTAGATTTCCAATGCCTCACTTTACTGCTTACTTACTTACTTCTTGCAGCAGCGCCTCTCCATGTGACCTTCTTACCAGGCGCTTCGAGAACCCCAATCCAGATCCAGACAATCCCACTGCACCTTGGCGCTACTATGTGCGTCCAATTGATGAAACTCATCTTAGCGCCAAAGCTGAGAAAAGATATGCTGAAGAGGAGCTCCAGGAGAGGTTCAAGAAGCCACGTAAAGTTTGATTTTCCCCTGCACTTACATATGCATTGCTCATTCACTCAACAATTTGTGCGGCCATCCTTACTGTACTCTCACTAGTGTATTTCTTGTCATGTAGCATTAATATTGCAATGTAGTTCTTGAAACGTATCAATAGAACTAAATTTAGAGGAACCGGCGAGCCAGGCTGATTGGACATAAGTCGGTAGTGCTCGCGCGTGTCGTAGTCTGTCCTCGATAGACCGTAGCCTCCCGCCATAGAGGTCTGGCCTTGGTTCCCTTGCAGTCTGTGCCCGTTCCAACACTTCCCCAACCTGATGGGAAGTCAGCGAATGAGTTTGCTCAGTTCACAAAAACACTTGCCTACAAGCCGCCAATGTGTCTCAATATTTCTCGAAAGCGCGATCTTCACTCCAACCTCTGTACGAATGCCTCGTAAACCACGGAGAAGGAACAAACTGATTTCAAGCTCTAAATTCTCTTTAGATAGCAATGGGATATCGAAAACGAGGATGCTCACCGGTGTAGACCTTCGGGACAGTACTACTCGCGCTCTCGCGTTGACTATCCAACGAGTATTGACCACCAGCACTACGTGACAAAAACGAGCTTGCAGGTGGGGCCACGGACGGTGAGATGGGTCGTGGGGTGCTACGAGATGTGTCCGAACCTCGCCGGAATAAGCTTGAAGTGAAGGTGGTGGTGATGAGTATGCTCCATTCACGTTTGGGAGCGTAGGTGACATCGCACGTGGAGTTGCGGAATGCGCACGCGCATCATCAGAGATCCTCGGCCTCCTCTTCAAAATCCCGTATAACACACTCCAGAGCAAGTTCAACGCGCTGAACGCTGACGGAACTGTTACTTGATGGATGTGTGCTACTTTTGTTGTTGTCCGTGAGCGCCTGCGAAGGAAAATCTTCGATAGAGGATATTAATGACGTGGAACGAGCCAAGGGAGTCTTGTCGTTGGGGCTGGAAGGTACTGAAGATACAGGGCCGCTGCCTTCGGGGGTTTTGTTGAACGTGAACTCGGCGACGGCGATGAAGTAACAGATGAAGCTGGGTATGTGGTCGAAGAGGTCGTGGTGGATATAGCTTTACGATGTATTCGTTGACAGCGTCGATGTTGTATTTCAGTTGCAGAGATATCGTGTCTGTTACAAAAATCAGTACGAATATAAAATGATCCATGCCACCAAGGACGCACCCTCTGACGAATGCAGTGATTGTTAGAGTCCATGACTGCGGCACTGTTGAGCATAGTAGAAATCAGAATATCGTGACCAAGACAGTCCACGAAGGAAACATGGCGAATGAGTTTCATCCTGTGACCCCATCCTGGCCGTTCGCATGGACAATACTCCAACTCGCAGACTCACTGGCACGTAGAGTTGGGCGAAGACATCTACCTCTTCATACCCGTGGTCACGTTCCTTTTGGCTCGCAAGGTCACGCTCCATGGCTGCATTGATAAGGCTGAGGCGTTCCTCAGGCTGGATAGATGCCTCAACAGCGAGAGCCGAGATCTGGCAGGTGAGGATGCGAGGCGGGTGAGGAGCAAGTGAATGAGGGGGCGAGAATGCACCTACACCGCTCGGCTTGGGGCAAACGGCCAAACCAGCCTCGCAGTGAGCACAAAGCGGTAGTGTACTGAGAGAATAAAGCAAACTGTTCGTATCACGTGATTTTGAAGTCAGCCGGCAAATGCCGATAAAGTCCGGGTTTACCTAGTACTAATCTACTTTCTTCATCCTCCTCTATCTATTGCACCCAGCCCCTGGCTCGACGCATTGGCGCAATGCAGACGTCCTGTTTGGTGCGTTTTTAACTCGAGCTATGCGCATGTTTACTGATTCTGTACAGATCCAGACTTTCAAGAGTCTACTCGCATGCTTCTTGCTGATATTGCTGTAGTGCGTGGTTCGCCTGTCATCGGGATTGGTATCAGGTGAGCGCACTGTATACTCAATCTAAACTAACTGGTCTGATTGCTGAACCTCGCTGTCATTTGTTCATTCTACTCATCCCCATCTGCTTCATCTTCGACCTCCTCGTCAACGGTCACCAGCCCAAGCCCAGGCTTCTCGAGGAGAAAAAAGCGATAATGCAACACGTTCTCCGTTCGTCCGCGTGCTTTGGGTACGAGGCAGGTCGGTTTATCTCTAGTTCTGACAGTTGTATTGATCCACTCGGCTAGCAGGATACGAAAAGTTCGTCAACTTCGGGTAAAGATGAGATGTGTAGGAAATGGTTCGTTGGTATCTGTCACTGCGGCAGGTGGTGCCATTATGCCCATACAATAATACCAACCAATCTCACCTGCAAGCTTTGGCTGAATGGGGAGTGCAATCGGCCGCAGTGTCCTTTCGCCCACAAGCATCAGGTAAGTTTGACACCGTCACGATTTGAACGTAATGATGACCTACTCTCAGAGTTCTGACGATCCTGTCAGTAATCAGCTATCTGCTCAAAACGACGATCCTCAAGATGTTGCGCAAGTTGCCGATGGTCCCGTTAAAGATCAACCTCCCGTTCGAAATGGCAACGTTCATAAACGAATACCGAGTAATCGCACTTGCCACCGTTGGCTTTGTGGGGAGTGTAGTCGGTCGTCGTGTCTTTTCATGCACGAGCATCAGGCAAGTCCGAAACACTATGATTTGAGCGTGATGATGACCTACGGCTCAGAGTTCCGATAGTTCCGTCAGGAATCAACCACCTGTTCAAAACAGCGATCCTCGAGACTTCGAAATATGACCTCCACTGCAAGCCAACTGGAAACGGGAAGAAGAGTGTGCCAAAACTCAAGAGGAGGCAAGGAAACGTGCCGAATGCGAGGCTGAGGCTGAAGCTGCACAAATATTGTCAGTGCTAAATACATTACATGATTTGTTGAACGGGACACACCAAGATAGACATTCTGCTGGTTTATGAACATGAGGCGGCGCGCCAATCCAGCAAGGTTCCATATAAAATGAATTACAGGGCGGCTCAGGGTTCAAAGCAACTTTGTACGCCCTGGCCAAGGTCTGTATGATGCACGGGTTACTGGCAGGGTTCAAAGCAACTTTGTACGCCCTGGGACCCCCGTGCACAAACCGAATTCAAATGGACCTTGCTTCAAAATTGAACTCAGCTGTCCACGCCTCCAAACGGAGGATGCGAACAGCCTTGGTTTGACCGATACTTTACGCCTCCAGATTTTCTAATGAAACAAAGCATCAGCATCACGACTCAGCCGCTCCACCAAAAGCACTAAACAAAATATAGTGCGAGACAAAGAGCAGCGCGACTGTGACAAACGGTCACGCTGCCCCGTTTGGGTTGCTATCTATTGCACTCAACGTCACCCGGGCTCGATGATAGCCCAGTCCTGCCCAGCAGAATCCCAGCGTGCGTGGCTTTCTCTTCATGCTCATTTCCCTTCAAATTTCCCATTCAAAAACAAAAATACTCATGTTATAACTCACTTATAGATCAAGTGGTCTGCCTTTGAGCACCATCTCTTTTGACACCACAGCTGCTACCTCGCTGCTTTCCTCTCTCCTCTCTTCCGAGTCATCAGCTGGGAAGAGCACACTCTCATCCGGCACTGTTCCTACCACCATTCCTACTCACTCTTACCACTGCAACGTCTCCGAGTCCTTTGTCCGGTGGATGGTTGTAGACGAGGCAGACGTCCTGTTTGGTGCGTTTTTAACTCGAGCTATGCGCACGTTTACTGATTCTGTACAGATCCGGACTTTCAAGAGTCTACTCTTTATCATCATAGCTAATCTTCGATCTACTCATCCCCATCTGCTTCATCTTCGACCTCCTCATCAACAGTTACCAGCCCAAGCCCAGGCTTCTCGAGGAGAAAAAAGCGATCCTCTACCACTCCAGATTGGAGTTTAGGACGGTGAGGTATCATGGCAACAACGGACTGGATGGATTTCGCACTGACTAGCTGCAGTGCCTCGTCGCCATGATATTTACATGACCAGACGGTCTGCATCGATTTCTGGAGTAGTTCTGGATCTGGGCGAGAGTAGACAGAGACCATTGCAACTGTGACGAAGCGATATATCTCGTCGTCATGGTACTCCAACTCCCCATCATTTTCATTGTCGTTTATGTCGTCTGCCTTAATAGCGAGCTGTGCATAATATAAAACCTGTGCAATTTCATTCCTGTCATTGATGGTCACCTGAATTTATAGTGAGAAGCTGGGTTCATAACATCAGGAGAGACAGTCACCTTGACGTTTCGTGCCATGCGGACCTTCTCCGCAGGCTTGAGTGTTTCCTTCCATGCACAGCGAGCAACCTGGCCATTTGGAAGCCGCAGTCTTGCCCAGCGCTTGAACTTTGGAACAGGTGCATCCAGGAATTCACTAATCACTCTTGACTCGGCTTCACTTGGATGATAGTTGTACCTGTCACGAGCCCTGAGGAGAACATAACCACCTCCGAGATTGACAGAATGATTTGGAAGTAGATTGTCGGGTGGCTCTAAGTCAGGAATCATGACCTTGAGGGCATTTATCTGACACCGGCGAATGGCAAGAAAAGTTAGGTTCGAAAATGGATTGGAAGGCTGTCGTATTTCCATCCCCAGCATGCCAATGACACGTTCCATAGTCCACTGTGCATAACATGCAGACGGACCCGATCGAAAACCTTCGGTTGCTAGATGATTTCCCTGGTGAGCACATGGCCGAACAAAATGGATTCGGTCTGCTCGTCGCTGATAGTATATACATTCGAACTCATACTCCCATTCACAGAAACACCTGTGAGCCTCCTGTATGTCTTCGAATGTGAGGCTATGTTGACTCATGATTCGGACACCTCGCACAAACTTGCAGAAGTTTTGCCAGTACTTGTCGGGCAAGATACCATAGAGAAGACCTGGGCCAAGGCCCCACAGCCATAGGATAAACTCCCAGGCTTTGTAGTAAGTGTTGATCTTTTCGGCAGGATTGCGTGGGGGCCGATCAAACGAACCAGGGAGGTATTGTGCACATGCAGCTACGGAGGCACCATGATCCATCCAGACAGTCTTGTCTCGGAATACGGCCCAGTCCCACGAGTCTTTATCATCTGTAGCATCACATCTCATTGTGCCACGCCACAAATCAGTGAAGAGTGAACCCATATTGGGGCCCTCAAAGTGCATGATATCGGGGGTAAAGCATTCGGGAATGCCAAACATGCGGTTGGGCAAGAGGCCAAGCAATATGCTTGGCTTGACAATACCTGTTTCGAGCCGCTGCTGATTATACTGGGCTGTTGTTGTAGTGGAGACGACACGGTAAAGATTGTCGACGTAGTCAGAACATGGTGATAATGAAAGTTTGTTGATATCAATATCGTCGTGATCACATCCAGAAACAGTATAGTTGAGAGGCTTGAGGAGTACAGGGTAGTATTGTGGCTGCCCATGCTTGTGACGTCCCTTGAGACCACAGTACATCCTGCACCCATTCTTCCCGGTATGCCCGACCATTGAGCTCAGACAAAGTAAGCCAGGACCGTCTGCAGTTCCAAATGCGAAAAAGAGATCTGACTTAAACATTCGGTCCTTGGATGCATCCCATATATGAAGCCCTTCCTTCTGCAAGCCCACGAGATGGTGTAGACCAGGAAAAAGGAAGGATTCGATGAATTTTGGCTTATTAGGCCCAGGTATGATTCCACCCGGGAGGATGTACTTCTTCTTGTAGCGTAGATCGGGAGAGAGATTAATAATGATCCAGATATATATCCAGCAGTCAGACTCCTTGCTCTCGTAGAGTTGGGCGCCATCGATTGATAACATGAGAATGATATCGTTGTCTTGAATTTTTCCTTCATTCACAGCTTTCAGATATTCTGTACCCGTGATGATATCATCATATACGGAAAGCTTGCCATCTGCAAGTTCAAGCTCCTCGAAGATGCGTTTTGTCCGCTCGTCACGATAGCACATGTTGGCTGCTGCTGCAGGGTCTCGATAAAGTGTTTGAAGTTGCGGACCAATGGGGACGGTGTGAAATACCTTGACAGGCGACTTCACTTTGCCATTAGAGGCTTCGTATTTGATCTGATCATAGCGATAAGAATGACAATGGGGACAGCGGTCGAGAAGTGCATAATCTCCCGTGAAAGCTGTGCAGCCCTCCGCACACATGTCATCTACAATGGACTCAATCCCGCTCATCTGGGCAACAATACGTTTGATTTTGTGGTGGGAAGGAAAGTCTGTGTCTGGATAGCATCGTAGGACAGCTTTGCGGACATTATTGTACGCTTCTACAGCAGAATGTTCCAGTGCAAGATAGGTATCGATAGCTAAACGCAGATGGGGATCCTCGATTTTAAGTTGATGCTGAGGAGGGTTTCGGAGACGATCAAGAGCATCTGGATCAAGTGGCGAGAGACTGTCATCTAAAGTGGAGCGTCGAAGGGCCTGAATAAATGAGATAGATTGCAATATATCTTTCTGCCCACCGATACTTGCAAGACGTTGTATTTCATCTAAATCAACATCTTGTATGGTGCGCCGGTCCTCGTCACCAGCAGGAGGGTCTGGCGGAGGTGTGGGATCTGGTCGAGGTACAGGATGACCCTCATTACCGGCAGGAGGGTCTGGTGGAGGTGTGGAATGGTCCTCGTCACCAACAGGAGGGTCTGGGTCTGGGGGAGGTGTGGAATGGCCCTCGTCACCAGTGAAAGGGTCTGGGAAATCATCCGCATAGTTGCCCTGCTAATAGGACTCAAACAATAGTTGGTAGGTAATCGACTTTACTCACCTCGTCTTCTGTAGCATTCTCATCAAGATTCATATCCACATCACCACTTTGAATCGAGCGTGTGCGCTCTCTTGTTAGCTCCGCTAACATATAGTCACATTTATTAGCACATTAATGTTGTAGATAATGGTTCTCAACTTACCAGAGGTACTTGACAAAGCAATTGGAGCATCTGTTTGTACCCGAGAGACTAAGAGTGCTTGAAGTTCTGGAGTCCGTGTGTTTGCGCCACCATCCTGGGCTTTTAAGCGGTAATACTGAGATTTGGAGACGGTCTGAAGGCGGCCCTTGCGCATAACTTGATACTCTTTTGGTGGTGGCATGCTAGTGGGCGAAAGTGTTGTGATGGTAGAGCTGTTAGGTGCTAGATGCAACGTGCAATGATATTGTGCGTGCCAAATGCAACATGCAGTGACAACAATAAGAGGTAATCGATCTTGCACAATTTCAGACCAGTGCTATTATTAGTATGAACTTCGCCAGCCAATCTCACACAATCTCAAAGGCTTCTCAAATTCGCACACAACCTCGCACAACCTCAGCCATTTTCAGAACAGTGGGTTTTCACTGGGCATCATCCATCGTCTGTTGCAAGTCAATGATAGTATTCGAGGGGGGTAGTTTTGCCGTTCGGTCAAACGTCCACCTAAATTTCGATATAGGTATTACACGTGCACCTTCAAGCTTCAACGTCAACCATAATATCACGAAAGCAAAAACAAGGCTCACAAAGTCGCGACGTTCCCCTCGGGCTGCCGACTGGCTCGATTTTCAATCGACTACTATTGACAGATCTTGTTTCCATTGGGCTAAGGCGCGCAGATGAGTTATGTAGTTGAATTCTGGTTGCACAGCGAGCTGCTCATACTCACACCACCTTTGTAACAAATATAGCCATTGCAGCATTCGAGATCATTGTTGCAAGGTTGATCTGGGTTCGTACATGCACTGACAAACATAGATGCTGTCAAAGCAACCACAATGGCGAGGAGGGAGGCGCGCATTTTCTGTGCGAGGTGATATGGAATCTTCTGAGGGGAATCTCGGATGAGGGAACACTGTAGGACGACAGCCAGCTTTTATATCCTGCATACACTTATGGGAATGATCCTGATCAATTTGGCAGAATCGTTGAATCGTTCTTGCTGTCAAATGGATCAAATCTCTGCAGAACTCGCAGGAACGTATTCATTTGGTTATAAACATCGAATCATGACCTGCATACTCGACGATCGCCTTCGCAACCACGCTCAAATCACCAGTCTCTCATCCCAATCTCTCACTCATCGCTTCATCATTTGAACCTGCACTGACCCTGCCAGGGTGGGGATAAAGTTGAGAAACTGATGCTCATTCTCGTCGATATTTCCGATATACAGGTACTCGGTCGATATCTCTCACTCACTCGTCGCTTTCTCATATGTAATAATTCGCCTACACTATTAGTAGGCCAGTAACTCTGCAACTACTGCGTAGAGATAATGAGGCATCTTTCGGCAATTGATACTCATTCTCATTCTTCGCATGTGCTTGGTCAAAGATCCCTGCATTGGTCATAGTTACAGCCACATCACAGCGCTCCCTTTACAGTTTTGAACACCTATGATGATATCAAGGCATACCCTGCAGATGACCCTATATACCTTGTTGAAATTGCTCTTCCAAATTGCTCTTCCTCATCAACCGCCCCTTGTACCCCATCCAATACGTACTCGCTCGATGAAGAGGACCACTCTTGAGCTCCCCGGCCGCGGCGCCCATATGGCATGCTACCCTTGGATGAAAAGTACCAGGCATTAATAATTCGATATCAGCAGGCCTTTGCTGCTGTATCGTCTTTCTTGCTTGTGCCAACATCCTCTACCTACTTGGCCACCTACAGCGGCAGGCACCCAGACTTGGTCGCACACAGACCTGATCTTGCGCAGACTTTCACTCAGACCGGCCAAATACTTCAAACTCGTCCTCCTGCTGAATATTGTTGATGATGATTGATGAAGCCACAATGAGACGGGGTTTGTTGGAATCGCGAAGTACTCTGACAACGAATACGACCCACTTCGGCGGATATGACGTACACAATATGTTTGGATTAATGGACCTACCTTGCGATTCAATCTATCCGACTCGTCCCTGGAAAACGTCCGTTCTTGATCAGTAGATCAACTCTCCCATCTGCTGGGAAAATGGACTAGCCATCGGGTCTATTGACGGAATAGGACAGGATGTTGACGTGTTTCTAGCTTGGCGACAACTACGCCGCTACGGCAAGTGGCAGGATTTTCACCTCTACATTCAGGCCGTTCTGCAGTTTCGAATCTACCAAATTCCCATGGTTGGCGCTGACACTTGTGGATTCAGTAAGTATTTGCAGAATTTCGATTGGTTTCTGGTTAATTAATGGTGCAGATGATAACATCAACGAGGAGTCGTGCAACCGTTGGATGCAGCTCCCGGCATTCGTTTCGTTCGACAGGAACCACAATACTTATGCCGCCCTTCCTCAAGAGCCTTACCGCTGGGAAAGCGTAGCAAACGCATCCCGCATCGTCATTGCTGTCAGATACTCCTTACTACTGCCATACTGGGTAAGCGTGTTTTCCTTCAAGCGTGAGGCTGACAGTAGATATACAAAAGTACACGCTCTTTGCCAATTCCTCTATGGCTGGTCTTCCGCCTGTCAGGGCGTTGTTTTACGAGTTCCCTGACGAACCTGAGCTTTTCACAGTGGACAGGCAATGGCTTGTTGGAAGTGATACTCTTGCGACTCCAGTACTGACTCCAGGAGCTACGACCGTCGACGGTAACAGTCCAAATCTCATCAATGACGTCCTGACTAACATACTCACTTGCAGGTGTCTTCGCAGGTAGTGTAATGTGGCCGGACTGGTACACGCATGCCGCCGTGAATGCCGCGTATTGATGAAACATGACATTAGACGCTCCCATCAGTCACATCAACGTCCACATCCGGGACAACTCTGCTCTATTACTGCATCAAGAGCCGGGTACACCATCTATGAGACTCGCGAAGGCCCCTATTTGCTGCTTACAGCAGACACAGCATTCGGCACTGCATATGTGGACGATGGGACCAGTGTTTCGCCTGGACCGAGTCGAAGACTCACATTTCAGGCCGCACATACAAGATTGAGGGTAACGGAGAATATACGGTTCTGCAGAAGTTGGAGATGATCACTGTGCCTGGCGTGCAGAAATCTACCTTGGTCTCATTGCAGGGATCGCCGGTTAAAGGGTGGGCTTATAAGGAGGCCACTGAAGAGCTGGTGGCGTCGAACACTTCTGTCAACCTTAATGGGCAGACGACTTTGGTGTGGAAGTAGTTTTTATAGGGTGTATTTCTGGACCATTGGACAGATCGCGCAGCGCGTGATCGAAGTCATGGAGGCATCAAGCTGGCTGGACGACTTCGCTCACTCATGTCACGTTTCCTAGTCAATATCATAGTGAGTGTACCAGATCTTCCCATTGCTCAAGCGGCAGTGGAATTGGTTCAACAGCCATCGTAATGACTATAACTCAGCGAGTCACTAGGAATGTCTTAAAAACGTCGCTAAACATCCTAGGAATGAAACCATAAACACCATTCGTCGGACTAGGAGCGTTGGGATAGATTTAAGTGAACATTATGGGCTATTGGGGTCCGATCAGGCCCGGGGTGCCTGCATGGCCAGAACCGTGCCCTGAGGAAGCCGTTTCAAAAATTCAACCTGGTCATTTTTGGGAGTTTGCATAATTCCCCTGGGTCAGATTTTACATTGCTTCACCAATCATCCGAAGCTGCTTTCCTCAAGTGCACACTCAATCGGAGAGCGGATAGTAGCCTTAGCAAACAGACTTCAACAGTCTTTGCATGGGTGCTTCCACTTGTCGGTGACTCTCGCAACGCGGATAACGAGTTTCTTGCAGGTCCGGGGCTGATGCATGATGACGGAAGAGAAATTGCTCGATGAATGTGACAGTATTTCTATAGTATCGACGTCCATGTTATCAACCGATGCAATGTCCTTGACTTGTGCAACGATGTTATAGTCCGATGCGATCCTCTTGTATTCTCCGATACGCTGCTGCGCTAGCAAAAATGCGTCGAAAGGCTGTCCGAGGCGAACCATTAGCTGCAACGCTGGTGAACCAGGCTCCTCTTCAACAGGCGAATCGCCTGGTAACTCTTCGGAGTAGTCCATCGGGGACCCGGGCTCGGTCCAATCTCCTATACTCTCTGTATCATCAGCAAAGTCAGACTGCTCTGCAAAGTCAGGTACCCCGAGGAGATGCCGATCCCATGGACGGACAAGCAAGAACGTCCGCCGAATGGGCTTTGCCCGCGAGAACTGAACTAGGGCCTCTTCAGTGGTGACCAGCAGGTCGTGAAGCCCTTCTGCCTTGATTCCATAAGTGATGGGAGTCTCCTGGGCTAGACCGCGCCTCCGTCTGACTTCTGTGACACGGAATGAAATACAAGGAAGATGAAGTCTGCAGTTTGAAAAGCGAGGAGCTCTAAGCTGTTCAAGCTGATTATAAAATTTCAATGCTAGATCTGCGGCCACGGTTTGTCGCAGCGAAAAGACTTGCGTGTGAATATGATCTTCAGACAAAGGTGAAAGGGTGCATGGAAGAGCGGCGTAGGAGGTGATATGGGCCGGAAGACAGCTATTGAACTCGGAGGGTTCTCCGATCCAGTCGAGAGCAGAGATGTCGCCCGACCGAGCCACGATCTCCTGCAGGAGCCGCCCGAGCGCGTTATGCTTCTTCTCGCCATAAATGACAGGTAGTGTGATGCCGAAGATGCCAAATAATGAGTACGCGACATCTTCTTGCACGGTGGTGACGCGCTTCGATGCCCATTGCAGTTTCTCTCGGGCGCCGCTCATGCCTGGGCGGAAGGCCACCAGGGTCTGCGCATCTATCCCCGTCGCATCCTCCAACTCCTTCATGATGGCAGGGGACTCTTTGTGGTTGGGAGAGCGATCGTCGAGATATAATGACCAATCCTTCCGATAAAAGATAACAACTTTCGGAGCGAGGAATTCTTGAAAGGTCCATCCACGCTTGTTCCAAACACTCCTCGACAGTGCACCGGGCGGGGATGAAGGAAGGACATCGCATAGATAGACGATGGTGAGCGCTGAATGGCGGTACCAGACGAACATGGAGTTGACCGATTCTTGAAGCTCGGTGTTGCTTTTCTTGTCGATGCAGCATGTGTCCATCCACGCCCAACGATACCCAGCATCACGAGCGACTTTGCAGAACGACTGCAGCTTCGCCATGCCGTCAGGTCCATTCAACTCGCGCACATCTCTATCCTGGATGTCGTGCAGCAGCGCCTCTTTCTCTTCCCACCTGTGTGATAACATGACGCAGCGGAAGTATATTGCTACCATTTCCTTGATGCGGCCCATTTGGAGGTCTGAATGCTTCGTTGTGATTGACAAAAGCTCCTTGTACTCTGCACTCATTTTGAAGGCGTTTATTTGTGCCGCTCGATCGCACGGAAGACCCGTAGAAGTATTAAGTAGACGTAGCGGTGCATATTCGAGTTCAATCCAAACAGCTCTTTGAATAGCGGCTTCTGCTTCGGATGGACAGACATACTGCCGGAGCAGTTCTGCAGAACAAGATAGGCGTTTCGAGATTATGCAGGGATGTTCCAAGGCTTACCTTGCGTCTGCACTTCGGGAGAATTGTCCAACTTGGACAACATAATTTTGAAGGCTTTAATGGCTTCGTCGTAACGTTGCGCGCCACGCAGCGCTGCATGTGTCAACTGGTATCCAACGTGAGATGAAGGATTGAGCTCGGTCACCTATGCACCGCTGGAGTCAATATGGGCTACGAAGACATAGATGCCATCGCACCTTTTGCGCGTCGAGAAGCGCGTCCTCCCATAGCATTTTAGCTAACTTTGCCTTACTACGATTTGCAAAGACAGCATCAGACGCAGAATTCAGTTCGATCACTGCCGAGTAAAGGGCAATAGCCCTGTCATAGTCGCTTGCAGCGAAGGCAGCATCCCCGCTGGTAAGTGAAAGCGCGCTGCATTTTTCCGTGAAAGCTGAGTGAAATGGAAGTAAGGATTGTAGCCTGTGCGACATTACGAACTGGAGACTTGCCGTTGAACCATTGAAGGCAGCTGGCCTTTGTCGTTTCATCGATATTGCCCATCATGTACCGGTATGATCTGACAGCATCTTGAAGTTTGCCTGCCTGAAGGAGTGCATCGCAACGTTTCTGGTTTGCAGTGAACCACAATGATTTGATATCCCAGCCGAAGAGCTGGACAAGGGACTCGGTTATGAAAAGGATTTCGGGTGTGTATTCACGCACCACTACCAAGTCCTCGTACATAAAATGAATGGGTGAACTCGATGAGAAAGCGCTGGAGTTGAGGACAGCGGCGAAATGGTCAGCGGTTTCTTCGTGACGTGCGCCATCCAAGGCCTTGATTCCGAGTTGAACACGCAGATATGCCTGATGCGCGAGTTGCAAAGATCAGTGTTGATGACCAAGTGCGGATGATACTTACTTGCACGACATCACACGCGAGAGCATCAGTATTCGGACAACCAGCAGCGAGTTCTTTGAGGAGCATATTGGCCTCGTCATGTTGATCTGCATTGAAGAGGGCAATGACCTGAAATATACGATGAAGCGGAAAGTATGTGAGACAAATGTAACGTACTTTGATCAAGAGCAGGAAATGGAGGATCTGTGAATCTTTGTCCGTGTACATTGATGCAACATCAAATGCTGCCCTTGCATCCGGGACACGGCCTTTTCCGCAGAGGGCAATACCCTTGGAGATGTACCCTGTCAATGAGGGCTGAATGCTGATGGACTATGTCGCCGTCGAGTTAGCCTTTTGTAAGGGGGCCAAGATCAGTGCGTATCACTCACCTTGATAGCATCCTGAATGGCGTGATCCCAGTTGTTTTGTCGGGCCATCACGAATGAGCGATGGGCATAGGAAGTATGGTTGTTGTCATCGGTGTTGATATCTTGCGTGAGTAGTTCTTCGGCAGTAGACAAGTGCCCATCTATGCATGCATCACGAGCTCTCGTGATGGCTAGGATCTGCACAAAACATGCTCGAATTGTGTGGTATATGAGTCAAAGACGGAAACATGCCTTTGGATGGAAACCCTGAGGTGTTGTCCACTCCGAGATCATCTGATTTTCACCTCCGCTGAGGATGTGATTACCGTCCACGGAGAAAGTGATGCAGAACTGGGTAGATGAGGGCTTGAAGGTGGCAACGGTTCGTCGATCTGAGAGCCGCCAGAGACGGACATGTTTGTCATGGGATGCGGATGCGACGAGTGTGCCAGCAGGATGAATAGCAATGGCACTGATATGGTTAAGGTGGCCCGTCCAAGGATCGCCGACCTGCTTCCAGGTTGTTGCATCCCATTCACGTATGGTAGGATCAGAACCACTGCCACCTGCGAGAAGGCGTGTGCCATCGGGCATCCATGCGAGTAAGAAGTTGTATTTGTGAGCGTTGAGGGATGTGATACATTTCCTGGTGGCTGTATTATAAATTTGGATATTCTTGTCTGTTGCGATGGCAAGAAGTTCTCCAGAGGGCGAATACCGTACGCAATGGACATCGCGACACTCAATTGCAATCGGGTCTCCTCGTTGCCCCAAGATTTTGGTGTTCCACAGTTTTATTATTCTGTCGTCATATCCACTAGTGGCCAGCACTGTCCCATCGGGAGACAAATCCAGCGAGGAGATTTGATTGGAGTGGGCTTTGATTTTGGTGAGTGATTCGCCAGTTTCTCCGTGCCAGACGATGATGTCGCCGTCTCTATCACCGCTTGCTATCAATTGCCCATCTCGTGATACTGCCAATGCCAGCACCAAATTGCGATGCCCCTCCATCTGCTTCAACATCACACCTGTCTTCAAGTCCCACAGACGAAGCATATTGTCCCATGAGCCCGTAACCATCCATCTTTTATCAGGAAACACTGCGATTGCCGTTACGAAGCCTTCATGACCTTTGAACTCTCGCAGGGGTGTAGTGATTGAAATGAGCTCCGACATTTTACAGCAGGTCGATGGCGTTGGGCGCGGTCGAAGTGGATTCTTGAGGGGTTGTGGGTGTCTTTCTGCCGAGGTGCGTGTATTGTGCGGTTTGTGTCAACCTGTCTCATTTCAATAGACGCCCAGGATACGAGGCTGTTCGCCTCCATAACCGTTACATCAAGAATGCACCCTATTATCATACCCGCGACAGTATACATACCCTCCCAGTGTCTCCATCCATCTGACTCTTGTCTCCACTGCTGCCAGAGTGTATCCAATTGAGCAGTCGGTGCTTTCCAGCGCTCGAATCTGACCATGATCTATCTTGCGTAATATTGTGGTTTTTTTGCGTCGAGCAGCTGCTCCAGCATATCACCGTGTCACTCCTTCGAACGCATGCATAAAGCTTATTGCAATATCCTTCATCCAGCCCAAGGTACTGGCACCCAGTTATTTTCGAGGGAGATATCATAGATTAGGACGAGCTGGAGAAGGTTATCATAAAGGAATTACACTTGCAGGATTTATCGAAGAGATTGACGTGGATGGCTGTGGGTCACATGCAGAAGGCATGGAGGCGGTCTGGACAAAGCAAAAGTCTGGATTGTCAGACATGTCATCACCTACGTAACTCTAGAACACAAACAATTTTGCCGAATCTGCCAAATTTGCCAAATTGTTGCCGCTCTGCCTTGAACTCGCCGCATCAACCAAGGTTGGACCCATGAGCTACTTCAGCATGAAGACTTATATAAATTATACTTGACAGAATTCTGATCTATGTACATGAAACTGCTAGAAATACAGCAAATTGTCTACAGCAAGTCTATATGAATAACGCAACATTGGAATAAATCGATGATAAGTAGCCGGGATCCGAGTGGGAGCAAGTCAGGTGCTACACACAGCGACCAACCAACAACCAGTGACTGAGTGACTGACTTGTAGCGCTGTCAAGTGACAAAATCACTCACAAGGTTTTAATCTTGGACGTACGTCGGACGTCCATTACAATCCTATATCTATACTCTTCGGACTTTGAATAAGCAGTAGCCCTAGGCCTACAGGACTTATTGGTCAACTAACTTGCTTTGCTGCATACACCCTTTTTTCAGTTTTGCTGCTCAGCACATTGACTACCAAAACATGTTGGCTGCCTCTCGTGTTTCAGCCCTCACTCCACAGGTCGCCAGATTTCAGGCTGTTCGGGTCGCTGGTCAACGCCAAGCTGCCCTTACCGCAGTCAGACGTCGTGCAAATGTGTCTGTCAGGTCTATCCAGTCGGTAGCCCAGACTGATAGGGTACGTTGAAAGTTTGAATGCCCAATCTCGTTTCTTCATTGTACTATATACACAGGATACGATAACCAGACTTTTATACTCCATTGGAACCAAGCGAGAAGTCGAGCGACACCTCCGCATATTCTCCTCTTCCTCCCACCCTTCTCAACCTGCCAAATTTGCTGTCATCAAAGTCGGAGGAGCTGTGTTGGATCAAATAGATGAACTAGCCCTCAGCTTGAGCTTCCTGTATCGTGTTGGCCTCTACCCCGTGGTACTCCACGGTGCAGGACCACAACTGAACGGTATCATCGAGTCTGAAGGCGTCATTCCGGATTATATTGATGGAATTCGTGTCACTGGTACGTTAGAGCCACTAGTTCTATTCTTAGGCTAATATCTTTTTAGATGCGAAAACCCTGCAGATCGCCCGCCGAGTCTTTCTCGAACAAAACCTCAAGCTTGTTGGTGCACTCGAGAAGCTAGGCACTCGTGCACGCCCTATCACCTCCGGTGTATTCACTGCCGATTATCTCGACAAAGAAAAGTACAACCTTGTAGGAAATATCACTCGCGTTGATAAGCGTCCTATCGAGGCCTCCATCAGGGCTGGCGCATTGCCCATTCTGACCAGCTTAGCCGAGACACCTGACGGCCAGATTCTCAATGTTAATGCTGACATTGCCGCCGGAGAACTTGCCAAGGAGCTTGAGCCCATGAAGATAGTGTTCCTGAATGAGAAAGGTGGCATGTTCCACGGCGTCACAGGTGAAAAGTTGGACGTCATTAATCTGGACGAGGTACATTTTATCTGGCATTACATTATCGCCAGCACACTAATTGCTATCTGTAGGAGTACGAACAGCTCATGAAGGAGCCGTGGGTCAAGTACGGTACTAAGCTCAAGCTGCGTGAATTCAAGGAGCTCCTTGACCACCTACCCCGTTCCTCGTCTGTTGCTGTTATTTCTGCCGATCATTTGCAGAGGGAGTTGTTCACCGACAGCGGTGCTGGTACCCTAATCCGCCGCGGTTACCGGCTCTTCAAACACAACAGCATCGAGAGTGTCGGCGCTGATCGTTTCCGCCAAGTCATTCACGATCGTGATCCAGAGGTGCAATCTGGCGTCTCAAGCGTCACCAGCGTCCTCAGCAGCCTCCAAAAGACGCCGTACACCATTTACGGCGATGAGCCCCTCGACGCGGTCGCCATTGTCACCCACCCTGAAGGTGAAGTGCCAATCATGACGAAGCTTCTCGCCTCTCGCAGCGGAGTTCTCAACAATGTCATTGATAACGTTTTTAACGCTATCAAGAAAGATCATCGCAAGCTCTTTTGGACTGCGAAGGTCGATGATGACAACCGCTCCTGGCACTTTGAGCGTGCTGATGGAAGCTTCACGCGTGCTGGCAAGAGCCTGTTCTGGTATGGCGTGCAGGATATTGCTGAGGTGCAGAGGATTGTCAAGGATTTCGAGGCCAAAGGCAGGCTCGAAAGGGCATACTTGCCCGTAGGACCGTCTGCTCCCCCTCAACAACCGTTCCCCGGTGCCACCAGATCTTATTCTACCCTTGCCCGTCGTCAAGTACCTTCCGGCTCTCGGGGGTACGCAACTGCTGTCACTCCGCAGCCCACATCTACTGAGCCCAAGCGCCTCGCCTTGATCGGAGCGCGCGGGTACACAGGACAGGCCCTCGCAACCCTTCTTTCCGGCCATCCCTACATCGATCTCACGCATGTCTCATCTCGACAGTTGGCAGGATACCCTCTGCAGGGATACACAAAGTCCTCAATCACTCACAGCAACTTGTCTGTTGAGGACGTTGAGCGAATGGAAAAGGACGGAGAGGTTGATGCGTGGGTCATGGCGCTCCCCAATGGCGTCTGCAAGCCATTTGTTGATGCAATTGACCGTGGCGCAAAGGTGCGCAGTTCCGGTGAATCAAGTGTCATTGTCGACCTGAGTGCGGACTACCGTTTTGAATCCGGGTGGAAGTATGGGTTGCCTGGTGAGGCGTCTATGTAAATACCTTGTTGAACTCTCAAATTTACCTGTATTCCTTGTTTCCATTTTCTTTCCGCGATTCTCTCAGAGCTCTATGGGCGTGATGGCATCCAAAAGTCGAAGAGAATATCTAATCCTGGATGCTATGCCACCTCCACGCAACTGCTTATCGCGCCATTGCTGAAGTACGTAAAGCATGCATCCGGGCCTACGGTGTTTGGCATCTCAGGGTACAGCGGTGCTGGGACTGTTACAGGCACGAGCGACGCAGATGGCAGGCCGACGACGGTGCCCAAGGTCACACCAGAGAGCCTTGCTGGCGGTTTCCGTCCGTACTCGCTCACAGACCACATCCACGAGCGCGAAGCAGGCCGTCATCTATCCAGTCTGCTCGCAGATCCCACCAACCCCATAAAAGTTGCCTTCATACCTTCTGTTGCACCTTGGTTCAGCGGTATCATTTCGACATTGTCCGTACCACTTAGTGAGAAAGTGACTGCACGGGATGTCAAGGCCCTGTATGAAGAGAAGTATAGTGGAGAGAAGTTGATACACGTCAAAGCGGGTGTTCCAGGATTGTCAGACATCGAAAATAAGCACGGCTGGACTGTGGGAGGTTTCCAAGTCCACAGCGAGGGCGATCGAGCTGTTGTCGTGGTATGTTTGTCCTGTATGCTCGGACAATGTCACATGTGGCTAACTGAATTTAGGGTGGCTTGGACAATCTTCTCAAGGGCGCCGCGACGCAGTGCTTGCAGGTGCGTTCCGCCAAGATAACTGCGGGGTGTCAGCAATCTGATTTATTGACAGAATTTGAACCTTACTCTGGGTTACGACGAGTATGACGGGATACCCGTTTGATTGAATGTATCGGCGGGGCTTGTGCTTTCGGTGACATTGTTCGGGCTTGTAGATCTAGTAAAAACTATGTAATATCAGTGGTTGAAATTCTTATGCCAGGGCCCAGAGTTCAGGTGTTCTATTTCTGCCGGAGTGCGGACTTATTAACCGATATCTTATCAGCTGCATCATTCGCCCAGACGACCAGCGCAGCGCAGAGCGCGCGACATTATCATGATTGAATATTGAGGGTTTGACTCTAGCAGCTGAAACGTTGACAGTTGGGCGTCTCTCCATAATTAGATCCGTTTTGTTTATGCTGTACTAACTCCACCTCTCACTACCGCAATCTTGGCGCATACATTCCTCCACAACCTATGGCCGGCAGTAATCAAGAGTACTTCCAGTCTGCCTTATATCAGATCCCTGAGCGGGATCCAGTCATTCCTGGAGGAACTCCCCAGTGGAGCAACGCGCCCGGAGTGAGTTTCAAAGATCGCGCAGTACCAAGCGTGAGTCAGTGTCCGAGGTCGAACCACGAACAGAATACAGAAAATTTGATCTTTTCATTCTATCACAGGTTCCACAACCTGTGGGATTCCATCCTACAGATGAGCAGCTTTTCATGCACAATGCGGCATACGGCGAACTGCTTCCCAATCCAGATTTTCTGAAGCACCATTTCTTCCACGAGGGTCGTCTGACTGAGGCCCAGGCTTTGTATATCATCCACCAGGCGACCTCGCTATTGACCCGAGAACCTAACCTTGTGAACGTAGAGAGTCCTGTGACAAGTGAGTCCGCCCTGGGCACGAGTGGGCGTGTGAGCTGAATGATTCAAGTATGCGGGGATATCCATGGGCAATATGTGCGTTATCCACGTTTCTCTTCTGCTCGCCTGCACTAACTAGTTTTGGGGTGGCGACAGTATGATTTGATGAAATTACTGGAGATCGGTGGAAATTTTTCTGATAATGCCTATCTGTTCCTCGGGGATTATGTTGATCGTGGAAATTTTGGAATCGAAGTGAGTATTTAGATCCTTTGCAGAAGTCTGCGTTCTGATCTTGGACTAGTGTTTGATTTATCTATATGCGCTCAAGCTCCAATACCCAAAGCACATCACGCTACTACGAGGCAATCACGAATGCCGACATTTAACCGAATACTTCACTTTCAAACGAGAGTGTGAGCTCTTGTGCGGCGACCTGCGTCATACGATGCTTACGATGTGATCCTAGGTCTCCACAAATATTCACCAGCAGTGTACGAGGCCTGTATAGCTTCATTCTGCGCTCTTCCAGTCTCAGCACTCGTAGATAACCGCTTTTTCTGCGTCCACGGAGGTCTTTCGCCAGAGTTGGTGACTTTGGAGGATGTGCGCAGGGTGTGTTTGATTCTGCGATCGACTCGAGTGCGTTCCGGACTCACCTTAGGACGTAGCTCGACCGGTTCCAGGAGCCTGGATCGAGTGGCTTATTGTGCGACCTTTTATGGTCCGATCCTGTGGTTAACTTTGGATATGAACACGAACATTCACAGCAGGGTCCGCCCCTGCCTCCTGGCACCACGTTCGAGCATAACGGGGTGCGAGGGTGTTCATACTTCTTCACGTAAGTATTGCCATGTGTGATCTTTTTCCTAGTCTGAATTAACTGAAGATACGAGGCGGCGTGCAAATTCCTGGAGCGCAATAACTTGCTGGGGATTGTGCGTGGGCACGAAGCTCAGGATGCAGGGTGAGTTGTTTGATTAGGGTATGCTGTATTGTTCTCTACTAAAATAATAATTCCAGATACCTGATGTATAGAAAGACACCGACGAAGAAGTTTCCCTCTGTCATCACAGTGTTTTCTGCGCCAAACTACCTGGATGTGTATCACAACCGCGGAGCAGTGATCAAGTATGCGAACAAGAACATCACTATCCGTCAGTACAACTCGAGTTCTCATCCATACTGGCTTCCCAATTTCATGGATGGATTTACGTGGAGCTTGCCTTTCGTTGGTGCTAAGAGTAAGTTGGACAAATTCACAAATCAGGGTTTGTTTACGCTAGAGTTTACAGTCACGGAGATGTTGCTCGCGATCCTGGCAACGTGCAGCCCAGAAGAGCTAGAAGACACCGAAGTCTCCATCGAAGGGGGAGATGAAGCCAGCAGGGCCGTTACGGACCTTGCCTTGCCGCCTTCCGAAGTTGCAGCACGTAGGCAGGCGATTAAGAACAAGATTCTTGCGGTTGGAAAGATGCAACGGGTCTTCCAACTTCTTCGGTCCGTGATTTCTGCAATTTGATTTAGTGCGGAATACTCACTCGGCTGGCTGCAGCGAAGAGGCCGAGAACGCGTCAGAATTGGCTGCGGTTGCAGGAGAGGAGTCCATCGCTGGTCTGGACCATGTCGGGTCAGATTTACTCACAGCGCAAGGGACACAGATGAGGCACTATATTCGCAGCTTCGCCGACGCGTAAGTACAATTGTCAATTCTCGTGTCGCGGACATTTTCTCATCTGCTATATTCGCATAGTCGCCGCTCAGATCTACTGAATGAGCGTCTGCCGATATTCCAACCAACGGATTCGGTGACTGACTTCCCTGTGATACCAGCACCGAGTATGCGGCGCCGCGGCAGCGGCGACATTGACGGGGTGAGTATGGAGGAATTGATCCGCCGGGCACTAGAGGAACCCGATGAAGACGGTCTTCAGGGTGGAACGGTTGAACGGATTGCTGAGCGTGTCGCGATTGGGAGGAAAGTGACAGGGAAACCAATGCCTTTGAAGAGATTCGAGACTGCGTGACGATCTATGGATGACATGATGATCTAGACTGCAATGCCCGAGGATACCTCTGATTCCTGTTTCAGCGCCCACACTGGTACATTACTTAACGAATGAAATGCAGCACAGATAGGTCGACCACAAATCAAGATTAATTAGTAGCCTACTCCAGACTATATGAGATGAATGTCTGAAAGAGTTTATACTGAATGATGCTGGGCGTTAGTGAACCTTATACACAAGAATCAAGCACACCTTCTAAATAATCAGCCGCAAGGAGCCTAATCGATGCAAGTTGATTCAGATCATAATGGAACAGGTAATGATATGACACACAATTCCAACGCCACCTCGGGCGGTATGCGCTCGGTGAATTCATTCACATCAACACCCTCCTTGGATCCAGGCCCCTCGTAGTAAGCCTTAAAGGACATATACTCACAGACCTTCTCAACCACCGCAGCGCTATTTAGGCTGTTAGAGGACGCAGGTTCCTAAACGGGTCGCCACCCACCGTTCACTGATCGGACATGTGTTGGCAATTGCCTCCCTGAAACTACCTGTAGTGTGTAATAGTTCGGAAACCATAGCAAAGCTTCCAAAAGGAATGGGAGCTCACTATCCTCGCTAAGCATGTTTTTGAGGGTGCCACTGATCGCAGCGACACTTCGCTTCACGAGAAAGGAGTAGCCGTCTGAACTGGTGATTTTTACCCAGTCATCCCGCTTTTCAGCGCCTGCATCCTGGAATGCTGTGAATCAGCACACTTTCGTGGTAGTCGAAACGTTGACACATCGTTTTACATTCATCTGAACATCGTTGGACATTATGAGCTCACCGTTGTGTGTGGCGAAGGCCATGCCACAAGTTTCTTGAATTGGTAAGATGTAAGGCGTGAGAACAAAATACCATACATGGACTCCCAAGTGGGCCCGCTGTGCCAAGTGATCTCGTTTCCATCTCATTCATTGTCTACCACCGTGCACGACCCTTGAGCCCTAGATATGGCTCTTCCCAAGGCAAGTGTTCAATATCGTTTTCCGAAATAATATGTTCTGAATGTGATCTGGTACTTATCTAGCGGATCATCAAGGTATGTGCAATCATGTCTACAGCATCTTCCCAGTAGTCAGCCATCCCTGACCATGCTTCTTTTATCTATTCTTCATTTCTTCGCATAGGAAACTGAGCGTCTCGTCGCAGACCCCGCGCCTGGAATCACTGCTGCACCGCACGAGGACAACCTGCGTTACTTTGACGTAACGATTCAAGGGCCTGATGGCAGTCCCTTCCAACGTGAGCTGTCGAGATTATAGATGATACATTGTCGGAATGCTGAAGCGTTTGGTAAGAGGGTGTGTTTCACCTGGAATTATTCCTGCCAGAGGAATATCCCATGAGTCCCCCAAAGGTGCGATTTCTCACAAAGATATACCACCCAAACATCGGTGAGCTCTTAGATTACCACAGTGCCTGCGCAATCTAAATATGCTTCGCTACGGCAGATAAACTGGGTAGAATCTGTTTAGATATTTTGAAAGGTGCGTTCGGGTACCTCGTGCTAGTCCTTACCGATTTGAACGCCACTGCATTGTAGACAAGTGGTCCCCTGCATTGCAAATTCGGACAGTCTTGTTGTCGATACAAGCTTTGCTGAGTGCGCCCAATCCCGATGACCCACTGGCTACCGATGTCGCCAAGCACTACAAGGAGGATGAGAAGGACGCACAAAGAGTGAGCAGGGAATGGACGGAGAAGTATGCATCCAAGTGATAATAAGGTGGAATATCTGGAAATTATTGAGAGTCTGGAGGGAGGAGAGTTGTAAGCTGAGTATAGCAAAGCATGAACCCTGGCAGTTAATTTGTACATGAAGTGAGGACTTCAACCTTTGGCTTCTAATTCTGATTCGGCGTGGATGCGGGGTTTGTGCACTAGATCAAATTAGACGTGGCCTCTAGGAAAGGGGACTTGATGTGGTCATCCCATTCATTCATATTTTCGTAAGTCGCTCGTAAGGGCAGCACAATTTGTATTTGTCCAACGAATAGTTTGGGCCGAAATTGTTGGTCTAGATCGCGAAGTCTCGGCTAAGTCTAGAGCCTGTGAATTCGGCACGATTGATCTGACACCTTTGGGCGTTTCTCAGACTAACTTCGCCATATTTACAGGCTTGATAGCACAGGCTTCAAGATCAACCACCAGCATAACCAGAACACTCCTCAAAGGCGGGTTCCTAGCCAAACGTGCGCTTTAAGGTCGCGGTTTCCGTGATACTCGTCTGTACGTTACAGCACCATACAAGGCTTCAGAATGCACGGTGCTGACCACCTGTCTTCTTGCCTCACTGCACCCAGAAATTTTTACTACAAGTCACAAGGCTTCTAATCGCCTTGCGCACCCAACACGATTAGTCCAAATACCTTCCCCAATTTTTACACCGTGCATACGATATATCCCTCTCGTCCCGTCATGTCCATCTTGAACGCGGACATCACGCACATTCTCATCAACGATCTCTTGTCTAGCAATGGAGGTTCGCCATCTGCGCTGTTGACCCTTGCCAGCACATCTCGATTTTTCCGCGAATCGTGCCTCCCCTACCTCTTCTCTGAGGTGCGATGGCCTCATAAAACCAAGGCTGAAGAATCTGGCCTTCGTTTCTTCCCTGAGGGCCTCTGGCCATATATCAGGTAAGCCTGTCGTTATCGTTCCCCTCTCCCATAGCATCAAGATTCACTATGATTTTCGGCGCCAAGGCACTTTCGGCTGGAATGGTTTGACGAATGGACAGAACCCACTCGCCTCAAGTGGGGAACACTGGACAAAGATGGTAATTATGTCCCTCACGACCTGGTCAAATTCAATTTGGCGATTGCAAAAATGCCCAAACTGTCGAAGGTGACACTGAGTTGTCCCTTTGTCATACCCCGGTCCCTTTTTCAATCACTGGGTCTATCACGATCCCTCAGCGCTATCATATTCATCGACACGCCGCTTCAAATAGGCATAACATCCATCTCCCCCGTTACACTCAAGCAGATTTCCCTCACACCTGTTGGCCAGACGCTTCGCATCGGTGATGGACCGACAGATCCGAGATTTTCTGATATCACGTACTTCATACGTGACTGGAGGAGGAAGTATCGCTCGCAGGCTAGCTGGAGGCAAGTCCAAGAGATACAAGCCTCCATCGTATTTGTCAAGACGCACGCAGCACACATCACCCATCTCGAGCTGTCCGGTAGTCTATGCTCTTTTGGTGCTCTAGCCAGAATAGATTGGCCATTTCTGAAAACCTTTGCGCTCACCGGTAACGCACCGGTCACGGAACCGTATGAGCCGCCAGCGCACGTGCAGCTTTTCAACGTGCTTGCACGTATGGATGCGTTGCGGGATCTGCGCTTACTCTTCGCGCAAAGCAAAGCGCAGGAGTTCCATGTCCTTGGGCGCGATGATCCTCCAGATCCAGCGCACACAGCAAAGCTCGCCACTCTTACTGATTTCGCCATATCAAACGCTTGCAAGCTTGGTGGGATTCTCAACCACATGTCATCTCTCCAACGACTTGCCATTCTCGCTATCGTGGACCTTCCTCGCTGGCCCATTGCACTTGGCCAAGCAGAAGTTGACCATGTGCTCGCAGATGTCGCCGCGAGCACCTGCGAACTCAATCATTTGCGTATCATCATCGAGGACAAGCTAACGCCCAACGTGTGTTGGTCCATCACCTCCAACTGCCCTCACCTTCAGACGCTAGAGATCGAGCGGTGTGGTTACCACGATGGTAAATCGGTATCAAGTTGGGTACGTCTCTTCCCTCAGGCCTGATCAAAGATTGATGCTAAATATGGGCTGATTTTGGCATATGTGATCGCCGCAGCAAGAGTTTCTTGAAGCACTATCCCCTCTATCTGCTCTTCGAGACCTGCGCATCTGCATGCAATTCCCAGAATACGACGATGTCGACGAATTTGAGTCATGGCGCATAGTACGCAAAGACTGTGCCAAGTCCCTCGCGACGGGCCTCAAGCTGCTCGGCAAAGTCGGGTTTGAGTATAGGAAACGCGCAGGGACCCACCGTTATCAGGACGCGTGGCTAGACTTCGAGATCAGTCGGAGCAAAGGAGGGGCTATCGAGCTGTGCCAGCTGCCAGCTATGTGGTACCCGTTCCCCGAGGTGTGGGAGTCATCGCAGTTGCCGTTTTGATTGAAGATGTGTTTATGGCATAACGGGAGGGTACTGCTTTCTTGCAAGTATGCATGTGTTTTCTTTTCTCATGGGCAGTGTAATCTTACACGAAACGTCTCGATGGGGCTGAGCTCATCCTGGCTAGGTTGTTTTGCGGCATATATGGTTTCTCACATTGGCATCGGTATCCACACACATAGTGTACATAGATATATTTGTATACACGTCTCTAGACTTGCTACTGAGAGAGATAGTTGTTACTGCGTAGTGATGTATCTATCATCGACACTGCGTGCTAGAGATATTTGAATTCAGTGGCAGGGTCAGCCAAGGGTCAAGTTATAGTAATTGTAAGGTCCAGTTGTCAATCGGGTGGAATGGCAGCAATATTAATGTAACCGAGAGCCTAGCTCCCCCGGCGCCCCACGGGCATGTGCCAATTTCATTGACAATGCTCTCAAAGGTTCTGAGTACCTGGTGATGTAAAAACAGCGTCGCCTATAAAAGCTGACTCCACATCAAGTCAAGCAGCGTGATAAAAGCCTCTTATACATTTTACGAAGTATGTTGAAAAAACCATGTCATTTAAGTTACATCTAGATTAGGAAAGCATCAAAACGAGCTGTGGCGTAGCATTTTCGAATAAGGCAGTCAGCTGCAGTACTGCGCAAATATTCGGAACCTTGCTTGTGAGCAGTCCCGAGTCCGCGGTTTGAGTGTATTACGCCGACGTCCACGGCTGGTCGACTTTGGAATACTGATACTTGGCGGCGTCTTATGATAGAATGTTCTATGAACCTAGATGTCAGATAAAGGGAAAAACCCCCATTCGAGTGGATCTGCGTTTTGATTCTTGAGTTCCGGAGAGTCTGGGTGGTTACGATAGAAATGATATCAGATAACGTAGGGGACATGATAGGGCGGCTCAATTAATCTCCCACATTTACCAACCACACTGATACAACCAAGTACACGTTGTATAAGTGCTTCGGAGGGCGGCAGCTGCTATACCATACCAATGACACCGTGGAATGCTTATCCCGTACGTGCCACAATCTACAGTCATAGCGATGTCGTTGTGTATGATCGCTTGCTGGTTCAAAAGCCCGACAATGTCAGCCATTGAACGCGCCTAAGATCACACCCCAGATCTTTCGACTCGCCCTGCATGAAGCTTTTGATGATGTTCTTGTTACTTCATACCACCATCATCATCTTGGCTGCACCTGCAGGATCCAATCCGGCACACCGGGCATCTACTGCCGGGTCCTCTGTTATCATGTATGTCATTCCGCGTCCATCGCGTATTTGTAAATTAACAGGGATTTGCTTTCCAGGACGCAGGGAACTTACCCGGATTCCTCATCTATAGGAAGCAGTCGTAATTTTACAAGTCTTGCCTCGGATACGCCGGAGTCTGGAAGCACGGCTTCTGTACTTGCGACCGCTGCAGGATCGGTGGCCAGCAGTAAGTCTGCCCTACTTGAATCATTGCGCAAGCTTCATGTCCGATGTCCAGTGATGACCGCGCCGACCGTGACCAGGCCCTTGCTGATTGATCCTAGTACAGCAACTAATGACCCGGAATTACCCAATACTTGCATACTCAAAACGTTCAACATCGACGAAACCTCTCTGGAAGTATACATGGTCGGGGTAATCCTAGCGGCGTCTTTTGCAGGCATGACACTTATAATTGTCAGCCTGCTTACCTGTTCTGTGGGGAGGTAAGTTACCAGGATTGCGGACATAGAGGGTTATGCTGACGTGAGAATATCAAAAATTCACACAGTTCTTGCGCGCTGGGAACTCCTGTTTACAGGAGAATATTGTGTACTCATCGAGTTAAGGCGTAGCAGAGCTGCGCCTCTCTGCATGCGTGATACTGCCAAGTTGACACGTCCTGGTGAAATGCAACAGCAGTGTGAACGTCATACACTATACACTATGTTGGTAAATTAATTTTACATTTTGAGATTACTATCGTACACACCCTGATCATAATATGCAACGAGTGACTCCACTTTGCCATCATATCTGGAGCTGCTTGAAGTTAGCCGTAATGGAAGACAATAATATGTTGGACTTACGAAAAGTGCAACACGCACAGCGGGTGACTATGCACTTAGTCACTGGGTTGATGATGATATGTGGAGGTAAATTAATCACTGCAGGCGTTGCCAGCTGTGGCCTGTCGACATGTTGATACCGCACCGTGTTCTCTCCGAATCCTGTGCAGCAATACCACCAGGATGAAAGAAATCCCATATAGAACAAAAAAATGCCCGCACTGTTGCCCAGAACTGCTTGGAGCCCAAAGTATGGTGACGCTGATGGCCACCTGCAACATCGTACAATCTCACCATCCAATTTATGCGGCTGAGGTGCCCAAAATAAAGCATTCCGAATGGAATGATGGTACGGTAGGACGTGATAACGTTGCGCACATGTTGAACCAGAGCTATTCTAGTTCTAGCTCCTCGTTGCAATCATGGGAATTGCGTTGACAGAAACACGTATTATGCACTGGATCCTGCGATGAGCTCAGACCATTACTTGACGAAGAGCGATTCTGATGAAGAGACGATGATCGGAGAAAAGGGTTCAGTGTAATTGACTCAGCATGTATATGCCCGTTAAGGGTGGGACTTGTAGTAATTACCATCACTACGTGACTAGGTACTAGGACCCCCTTTTCCTTTGTTCTTTCTTCCCAGTAGACCTTGTGGTCTGCATCCATGTCTTCAGAGTATCCCTCTCACCTTCATGTCTCTTTTGCACCAAATGCAACGTCGTTCAAGCGGACGTTTGAACAATTTGGCTATGATTCGGGCTCTCCAATGACTAGCGCTCTTCAAGCCAGCGGGAGTGGCACAACAAACCATAGCGTCCCGACAGGCTCCAGTAGCAACAGCGGTGGAAATGAAAGAAACAAGAGGGCAAGGAGTACGAGCAGCTCCTCTGTCAGTAATCGTTCTGCGGACTCTTCCATGTCCTCCGAGTACAATTCCGCGCGATCGAGCGCCTCGCTGAGCGAGGGCTCTACTACCAACAACCATAACCTCTCTCTTGACCAGAACAGGAGATCATCAGCTTATCCATCTCCCGCCACTGTTTCCACTCCGGGTACTTTGGTCTCACCAACGCCTGTGCCACCGAGCACCGAGACTGAACCTCAGGATGAGGACATGTCAGATAGCTCTGTTTTTTCCTTGGACATCTCACGCCCTGTACCTCCGCCAGAAGTAGTATCTTCTACTGCACATGACGCTCTTAGAAGCTCCATAGAACGCTTCAACGAATTTGATAGCCACATTGCAGTCCTCCGGCGTTCACACTCACGTACTCCGTCTTGGCACCCTACCGCATCTCCCGTTCTGTCCCCACGCGAATCGTCAAATGATACCACCGAAGCATTTGACAGCTGGGACTGGACTCATTTTGGAGCTTCACCGGGCTCATCACACACATCTGGGGAGGATCGCCGTGGTCAATATTTCACCGATGCAACTATTTCCATTGGGTCTGGGGGTACACACGCTGCGGCTCCCAGACAGGTTGACTCGTTATCTTTCCAAACATCAGATGGTAGTTGTCTCTTTGATCTGTTACATACACGTTAGCACTGATTACATACTACTCGCTGACAGGCTTATCATCACGTCCCGGCTATACTACCTCATCAAGTAACACCTCCAATTCTACACGTTCTTCCAACACCCCTCATCCTTCACACCGCCCATCTCCATCAATCTCTTCATCAACGAGGACGAACGCATCTATCCGAGAATCTGACGAGTTTCCCAACGGATCACTTACCACCGTACCGTCAGTCCTGCAAACTGAAAGAAACAACACTGATACCTTAAATGGACCCGTCGGCAGGCAAGGTGTCCACCGTGGGTCAAGCTCTGGGCCATCAAATTTGTCATGGGCTGCTCTTGCCTCTTCCCGTCCTTCACCGCCCGTTGCGTCGTCGCCCGATGTAGTCGGCAGGCAAGGTGTTCATCGTGTACCAAGTTCTGGCTCATCCAATTTGACATGGGCTACTATTACTCCCTCCCGTTCTTCACCGCCAGTTGCGTCATTGCCAGGCGTAACTATGCGTCCAGGACTCCTTGACAATACATTCGAGCCACCAAATTCAGATCTGGATACTAGGCCGCAGGCCGCAAGACGTACTACCCATTCAGATGCCGGCTGGAGATCCATGAGCTCAGCGCGTACGTCAGCAGGCACTTCTGCGTCATCCTCTGGTCGGTTCTCTCTCCCATACTGGCGATGATCATATTGACTAAGAGTTATAATTTGTTCCAGTGCTTGGAGACTCCATCTCTCACTTCTACGCTGCTGACGAGGAACGACACCGGGATGCCTCGAATCCAATCCAGGACCATAACTCATCGCCTTCTCGCTCGATTGACAGATACCAAGAGGCTGCTGTGCGCGCTAGATCAGTTATTGAACGCTCGCGTAACTTAGGTATGGCTTTTATGTTTAATTTTTCCCTGTTGTTTACAAATATTGCTAGTTCGCCCTCTCTCCGAGGCTTTTTCTTCGTTTTCCAGAGAACAGGCAATTGAAGATTCTGACGAAGCAGAGTTGTCATTTAACCGCTACTTAGCGGGTCTCGGTGGAGAGGACTCCATTGATCACGAGAGACGGCGCAGGGCGATGGTTCACAACCGTTACGATATCACTGGCGAAAATGATGAAGATGACGACGACCCCTCCCATCCAGATAGTGTGCATGAGATCATTCAAGGTCTTCATAATGCCCGCGGGCTACTGGAGCGTGGCGTGGAAACTGGTAAGGTGCAGCGCATTATCCCAAACTATATTCACTAATGTTTCTCAATCAGCTCGTTCATTGTCTGGGTCGCCTTCCCGACATGAGCCGCCAAATCCTCCCCCGGCTCGCTACCGCTTTCATTCCCGCTTGTATACCTCCGCTACAACACTGTCAAGCAACTCATTGGTGTCAGAAAGTGCTGCAGAGCATCGTCGTACCAACGCCAGGGCGCATCTTCGCACCCAATTGTCTGATTCACGTCCCAACTCCGACGAGCCTGCTCGAGACAATTCCGACATTTCAACTGCCGCTGCTCGTTTGAGGCGTCTTATAGCCAGCCAGGCAGACCCCTCAAACACATCTTCCCACCCTTTGGCGTCTGGTCGAACAAGCGATCTTCCTTCAAGACCGTTCGCATTAAACAGTTCTGGGCCACCTTCTCAGTTTCGACGAGGAGGCTTGAACGAATGGGAGAGAGTCCGATTTCCAGAGATTTTATCCGAACACAGGCATCCCCAGACAAGAAGTGCGAATAACAGATCTCTGTCAAGGGACCGCAACCACATCTCTTCTGAAGACCAAGCTGACAGTATCTTTGACCCTGTTTTCGCCACGATCAACGCTATCCCGAGTTCAACAAACTCAGTGGAGGGAAACGCGCAGCCACCGTATGTTTATCGTCCGCCCACGCCACCTCTTCACACTTTGCGTACTGCTCGCTCGCGTTCTCCACCACACATGTTTTCGGAACGACCACAGGTGCCCAGCGGTGACACACCTGCGAGATCTCATCCTTTCAGCAGCGTTAACTTGGATATGTTCCCGCCTGGAATATACCGCGATTCATTGCGGCGGTCGATACAAGCGAACCAAGGACGCAGTGATTTCCGTGCGTCAGAACCAGAGCCTGTACCTCCTGCTCATCAACTTTCCACTGCGTTTTCTTTCGGAAACTCGGATGAAGATAACGATAGCGATGACATGGATTCTTACTTGGGTATATCGGTGTGTCCCCCTTAAAACAAATCACGTGATGTATTTAGTACTGACATATTTGTGCAGCCAAGGCGTGGAAGGGAACGCGCAGCCTCGAGGTCAGTGTTTATGTATAACTCCCATCGAACCATTTGCTGAATGTTCCTTAATACTATAGTGCACGGTTTACATCGAGGCATATGATGCCAGAGCCTGCTGCTTCAGCAACATCCTTGGCTTTTGGCGTCGACTCTCACAACACATCCACGCAGGTCAATAGCGCCTTCACTGCTGCACGGGGCCGCGTCCCTCCATTGAGAGGACAGTCGAGCGACGAACATCTTGCGAGGCATCGATTGAATGAAGTAGAGAGAGGTGTTCAAAGTCTGCCTATTGATCCATTCTGGTCTAGCAGTAGGCGTGACGCCCCCGCACACAACCCTGCCCCCCACTCTTCATGGGAGTCATTGATGCAACCCCAGGATCGCGACTATGAAAGGATGAGAACCATGCGCGAAATGATGGAGCGATATGGCCCCAACAACGAACGATCTGACTTAGCCTCCAGGCGCAATGTTTCTCAGCCACACCAGGGGCCCTCCGGAAGACCTGGGAATGCTAATCGCCTCGCATTACTTCCATGGCGGTCTCCACTGCTTCAAGGTTCATCTACTCCGACGAGCTCCGGATCATCATTCACCTCCGGTAGTTCCGCTACTATCACCCGAAACACTACAGACCGGCCTCGAGAACGGCAAGAAGCGGCCCCACCCGAAGAACGGACACCCATTCGCACCTTGAGGCAGCGGGCTGGCCTTACACGCGGAACGTCACGAGCAGAGGGTACTCGTATTAGATCGATGTTTCGGACGGTGGCAAGGAGAAATATGGGTGATTATATGGTGCGTATGCTGTGTGCGCTGTGTTGTGCTGTGCTTACTGGAATGTTCCTCATGCTTCTCTTTTCGGATAAAGCCGGATGAGTTATTTGACTCGTCGTATGAGGGATTGTTGTCGCTAGGCGAAACGCTTGGGGAAGTCAGGTCGAGAGCTACGCCTGCCGACGTCATTGCCTCGCTTCCAACGGGAACCTATCAAGCATGGGCTAAGGAAGACAGCGAGACACGGTGTCCAATATGTTTGGATGATGTACGTATCTGTCAAATTCATCCAGTGACGTATCTTACCTTTCTTCTGCAGTATGGGCGCGACGATCCTGTCACAAAGCTCGTTGAATGTACCCATTGGTTGCATAAAGCTTGTTTGGAGGTATACTTGGTTTCTTTTGTCTTTTTTCTTTCGCTTGCTGACGAGTTACCCTTCCAGCAATGGCTCAAGACAGCGAATACTTGCCCTGTATGTCGCAAAAAGGTCAAGAATTCTCCAAAATGCCCATATAAGGCAAGCATAATGACAAGTGCGGGGGCTGGTGGGTCAGGGTCAAGAGAACCTGAAGTGGGAGCAAGTGGCAATCACGGCCGGACATCGAGCTCAGACTCTTCCTCTGGGGTTGTTGCCATGCGTCTGAGTGAATTAATCAATCGCGCTCGCCGAGGGTCTAATGCCCAATCAGGGAATGGTACCCAACCACAATCATTGTCACGTGCCCAAACGATTGTTGGTACTCCTACAGAACCGGTGGCGGCGACAAGGTTTAATGGTGGTGGAACTCATTTCCATCACCATCATCACCACTATCTCCACATCCACCCGCCACGTCCAGAGCAATCACAGGGTTCACAGTTCCTAGATCCTTATCATCAACCTCCCAGCTCAACTGCCAGTGCAGCCCAGAGCAGTACGGGACCCCGCACTTTCCCATCCATCCAGAACGTCAGCGGACCTCGTCCTAATGTGTCAAGTCGCCCAGCACTTTCACGCCCGACTTCCTGGTTTGGGTTGACAAATCGAGCCACTCGTCGAGTGCCTGAGACAACGCAGGATAGCGGCCCACATTTCCCATCTTCTCCAATGGAAGTCGATTATGAAATCGGAAGAACAGGTTTCATAGGTGCAACTTCTGGCTTCCATGAACCTGTGCCAGCTCCACGGAGCACCTTCGGAGCGCCTCCATCATCGAGCGTCATGTCTAGCGCAGTTTTTCCTCAAACCGCAGGCTCATTGTCGTCGTCATCGTCATCATCGTCGTCATCATCTACATCTACCACATCTAACATACTAGACTCATACTCCATGGCGACAGGTGAATTGCAATCTTTCCATGGCACAACACGGACCAACGTGGCCTCGTTGGGAAGCCAACCTCACGGAACCGCGCATCCCAACAATGCAGCTGCACAGCACTTTGGATCTTTCAACATGGATGGCGGACTAGATCCAAGAAGCAATTCGACTCGCAGTGGCTATGCGAGGCCGGGAGGACCTGGGACATCTGGTCCTCCTCCATGGTGGCGGTGAGCCGTGTTGTATATGCCTCTTATCTTCAATAGTCTCCTACATATAATATCTATTTTTGGTCAGGCTATAGCATCGCATCACAACTTATATGGTTTGCACTGTACACATGGAATCATGGATGCATGTACATTCTCGCTTCTGCGCTACACGTACCTGTAAATCAACCAAATCAAATCCAAGTATATCTAGTCTTAGGTGTTAGTGAATTAGAGGCGTAGCTCATTGTAAAATATGCTCTGATATCATGTTTCTGATTCCTTGTATCGAGCTCGTGCTCAAATTCACTGCGTGGGACCGGCGAGTACGTAGTGGGCCATGAGAAGATGCGAGAATGTGGTCAAGTTGCATCGGGTAGAACTAGTAATGACAAGTCCAGACTGTCCAGTGCCTCGCACATTATGTAACTCATCAACACTATCACACGGTCACATACCAATAGAATCAGTAGAATAGGCACCAGACAGGTGTCAGGTTTGCGCACATCCTTAAATTTTCATGCTTCCGACTGCTTGCATTCATGCTTGATAGCACTGATGCCGTATGGCACAGTTTGTATACTATACTATCATTGAACCTCACTTTGGTCTTTCGCAGTCCAGGTATAGTGACTATTGATCATCTACATGGTAGATGGCATTCACAAATACCTGCAACGGTAGTCCTTTAAATGCAGTGCTTGGTACTAGTATCTGGGGCAAAGGCTTGCCAAAGTCAGCGACTGTGTTGCACTGTAGTAGTACTTGTGTGGTGCCAGTGCAGGATTGGAGAGTGGAAGTTCAAAATAGAAATCAATCATGAATGGAGCACTGGCCCAAGTAAAGCGCTCCTCCATGACCATTGACAGAATTGGTGACAAGTTAAAGACGCCAAAGACACCAGAAGGGATGACTTCAGCTACATCTAGTGCACACTGCACAAGCATGTGGGAGGATGGTTATCTAAGCCGGCCGAGGAACGAGGCCGGCAAAGATTTTAGTCTACACGGAAGTTAGTGAGGTGGCGCAGCTCTTCTTGCTCCTGCCCACCTCGCAGCCTTGCCTTATTCTGAGTTTTGGCTACTTGTTTATACGTTTTTGCATCTATTTCGTCAGTTATAATGCTCACGCAGAACCCTAACGAAGCCATAAGGCCAGACTTCACGACTCAAGAGCACAAAGATGCGCGTCAGAAGCTCTTTGACGAAGGTTTCAATGCTGACCAAGCAGCTCGCTCTCTCTCAGCCCTGTGGACCCTGACCAACAACGCTGATAAAGAACATTGGGCCCTCAAACAACGGCGCCGGCACGAGGCTGAACGGAGAGAAGAGGAAGAAGAAGAAGAACACAGGCAACTAATCAAAGACGAACAAGAGGCCGCTCGCTTAGAGGATAGAAAGAAGAACAAAAACAAATATGTGCCTCTAGTGCGAGGGAAGGTACCTTCTGACCCAACAATCATCCCCGCACAGTATGCTCTAAGGAAAATGAAAGCGGGAGATTATTGTGAGTTGCACTACTTCACCAACAAGGGTCTAGAAGACGCAAAAGTTTCAAACCTCTTAGCAGAACCAGATGCCTTAGTGATGCTACCAGCCGCAGATGGGCTACACTCATGGGTTCCTGCGGCGGCAGTCAAGGATCCAAAGTCTGCCCCCATCGTCAAAGACGAAAATCTTTCATGGGAAGACTTCAACGAGGCGGCACCGCGCATGATCGCTTCAATGAAACTACATGACTGGCCTGACGATCGAGTTGACATGCATATTCGATTCTGGTGCGCACTACAATCGCATCGTTGGTGTCATGCCCCAGATACGCTCAAACAAAGAGCATTGCTACTCTACCAATCGCAACAACGTCGTCGCTGGCACATGACTATCGGTATGGCTCAGAGCTGGAGTCTAGAAGAGCTCAATCAGGATCTCATCTTCGAAGCTCGGGAAGAACTTTTCAACGAGAAAAGAGATAAAGATACAGCGTTAGCAATCCGTCAGTACCTTTTCATTTACTTTCACTCAAAGGTCAAATACTCAATCAACTTCTCGGCTTCTTCGTCCCTTTCATAACAACTTTGCGAACATTTCATATAATTTAAAACTCTCACCCACTGTCGGCCAATCGCGCGCCGACATGGTAACCACCGACCTTTGTGTTGCAACGCGCTCACTCTGGCACCACCCACCGGGATTTCATCACGAAAATCCATGACCATCATGTGTCATCCCTCACTGGGAACCTCTCGCATCAACTACGTGATCGCCACGTACATACCTCGTATCACACGATCAGTAACTTGCTATCTGTAATGTTGGAACTCCTCCTACAGAGCAAGCAGCAGCTACTTTCACAGCCAACAACCAGCACCTCTCATGAATGCTATCACAGCAGGTCGCGACGTCACAGAAGCGCCCGCACCCCCCTGCGGAAGAAGCCGCATATAGCAACAAGAAGGTACAACATCCTCGTCCTCCTGCTGCTGCAGGTACATTACCTTGCTGCACAGTGTGCTTGGGAAGAAACTTGCATTGCACCGTGGAATGCGCCACCTCTCATACGTGGGACAACCAATTCAAGACATTTGCCGAGCGCATCCGCAAGGGTCTTTGGACCAAAGACGGAAAACAAATCTGTACAGCTTGGCAACGCGAGGAAGGTTGCACCACCCCCAAACATGACGCATGTCACGTATGTTCGGGATGCGGAGCAGCCACTCACGGCACTCAAAGATGCCCTAGAGCTCAGAAAGCTGAGACCATTGACACCATACAAGGTTGATGTGTGGAAACGAGAACTTCGAAGAGCCGGTTTACTTGACCGCTTCGCTAAGATACCAGAAGGTCTTCTTTTAGGTTTCAAAATAGATTTTCCTTCTATCAGAACTGTACAAGCGCCTCCAAACAGAGATTCTATTTCTGAATACTCGATTGAGTTTGATACCATCATTCAGAAAGAATTGTGCAAAGGCAGGTACATAGGGCCTTTCCCAGCATCGGTCTTGGAAAGTCTTATAGGGCCTTATCAATCGTCACCGCTATCAATCATCCCAAAACCGGGCAAACCAGGAAAATTCAGGATCATCCAGAATTTTTCGTATCCGCATTCACCCAACGCTTCTTTCCCAAATCCGTCAGTGAATTCCGCCATCGAGACCAACAATTTCCTGACCACATGGGGAAAATTCTCCATCATTTACCAAATCATCGTGAACCTTCCTCCTGGCTCTGAAGCAGCGACAAGAGATGTCGCAGAAGCTTACCGAACAGTACCACTCCATCCATCGCAATGGCCTGCTGGCGTCGTATGAATCTCAGACTCTCTTTTCTGCGTAGACACTTGCATAGCGTTCGGGGCAGCTCCATCTGCAGGGGCTTATGGCCACGTAGCAGATGCGGGAGCCGAGATTTTCCGATACAACGGAATCGGCCCTTTAGACAAATGGGTCGACGATTATATCTTCTTCAGGATCAAGCTCGAATTCTTAGACCAATACAACAATTTCTGAAAGAATTGGAACCAATCCTTCGCACAAGAAGGTATGCGCCAAACAGGAAGCCGTCTTTGGTTTGGTGGCATGTGCACAGACACAGGAAAACTCGAGGAACTGAGCGAAGACTGCTCGAAACTGCTGCAAGATTTTTCAAAACGATCTGCTAGATCTGACCACGACAAACATTTTAATTGCAACCTGCAAGACATAGATGCCTTGTCAGAGGAGCTGTCATATCCCGTGTTCCGGACCCGGACCTATCACACACATCATTTCCAGAAGTCCGGATCCGGCCGACATCTATCTATGTCCGGATCCGACCCGCGTCTAACTTCCGTGCCTTATCCCTTTGTACGTTCCTACTCCAGTTAGACCATATCATTTTCCGTACCTCATTTCATTTCCGCCTTTATTTTCATCTGTTCTAATCTCCGGGTTCATTTACTATTTTCCGATAGACTAGCGTTTGACTTTTCTATACGCTCCATCCACAGCTTCAT